AGAAACCCCCACATCAAGGCGGAGGTGGGTGGCTGCACAGCACAAGAAGCTCCATTGTGCCCGCATAAGTCATCCCACACACAATGATTTAGTTGGATGCAACACATTGTTTCAATAGGTTGCCTCTAAATAAATACACTAAATATTTAAATTACTAAATACACTAAATAGATATTATTATTATTATTATTATTATTATTATTATTCTGCTTGGTTCAACTAGTATATATTATCCATTTAGTACTTTACTAATTGAAGCAACTAAAACACTGCACATGCGGAATGATGTTTTCTGGGGAAACTTACCTGAACCTTTTTTTGGGTGACTAACCCTAGTATGTCTGTGTGCATATATTATATAAATACATAGCTCTTTAGTGTGCAAAAATTAGCATATGAAGTTTTCAGCACCTTTATTACCTTTTAGAATTTAAACACTATAAGGAGGCATATGTGGTTGTGTTGCCACATCCCTAAATATATTTACAACGTGTTAAGCATGATTTTTTTCTCAATTTCCTTTCCTTGTCAAAGTATTTAATTTCAAATATTTTTGGCTATTTGAAAATTCTTTGATAGTTATGCAACAGATGAAATTAGCATAGCAGATTTCTAGATTTGCTCACTAAAAATAAAAGTCAAAGATGCAAAATGAGTTCCCAACCTACATAATGCACCAGAAGTTTCCAATTCAAACATTATCAGGGGGAAAATCCACTTTTTTGATGTTTAAATTTATGCTGTACTAGTAGAACCCCAAGAAATGCAAAGGGGTATCATATCCAGACCATGTTTTCTCCTTGACAACACATACCCAACCTATACTGTATTTATAGGGAAATCTAGTGAAAAAACTTGACACTTTCTAGTTCCAGGAAGACTTCAACACAATTACCCAAGATTCAAGAAAACACTACTCACACATATGTATGTGGTAATGTAGTTGGGCTGCAATCTTATACTCTTAGCTGAGAATAAGCCCAACTGACCTAAATGATACATTTCTGAGTAGATGTGTATAGCACTGCACAGTAAGAGATTCTGTGGTAGTGGCAAATCCTCCAGCAGCAATTACGGTAACTGAGTTGATGAAATGTTCTAAAATGTTTGTGACTGTTCTATCAGCTTAATCAGGGATGGAGAACCTGCAGTCCTCCAGATGGTGTTGGACCTGAATTTGCAACAGTTTCAGGAAGCATGGCCAGTAGTTAGGAGTGATAGGAGCTGGAATCCGACAACATATGGATGACCACAAGTTCTCCTCTCTCTATGGTAAATGAAACAACCAAAACTATGGACAACAGGAACAAAATCATGCTTACTGTTTCACCTACTGTGGCAACTGGAGATTTGCCTTTAGACGTAGAGATGGCTGCTTGCAATTGTGCCCTTTGATTTCTACTAAAGTATTTAGCAGCTGACTGATGAGCAGAAATGTTACTTACCTTCCTTCTTTGTTCTCTTCTTCAGCTACAGCCTCCATGGTCTCAGGTTCTGGCTGATCTCCGCTACCTTTCTCTTGTTCATTAATCCAGTCAGATACAGCCTTGAGAGCACGTTCAGTGTGAGAGACCATGTTCTGTACTGCTGTCAGCTCCTCTTGCGTTGGATAAACTGCAGAGTGTTTTGCCATAACATGGCGGTCATCATTCACAAAAATACGCATTGGCCGCTGAAAATAAAAACACAAATAGTAAACCACCAGTGTATGCTATTGGCTTTCACCTCTGAATGGCAGTCTCTTACCATTTTTGCTTTTGAACTTTGGCTGAATTTTTCAAGAAATATTTGCTTCTTCCAATTTGTACTCGCTCAGTGTATTCAGTACTCTGGGAAAACGAAAAGGATAAACAATATCAGAAATCAATCAATCAATCAATCTTTATTGCAGTCATAGACCAGACAGAAAATTTAACAACAGAAACACACACTTCATCTTCATCCAATAATATCAGAAAACAAACTGGTGGACTTGTCACAACATGGTACAATTATGAATTTATATTATAACAGAATATACCCCGCTACATTTTATGTTAACCAATGATTTATCATGTTTACAGAGGTCTCATTCTGATCTCCCCATCAACAAACCATGTTGCAAACCATGTGAGCAACAAGCTCATGCCCCTTGGTTTAGCATTATGTCTGAGCTAGTGATCACCGTTTCATTCCAATCAAACCACAATGCAAAACCAAGATTTACTCTTGGCTTTCTGATCACAATTTGAGCGAAATGCTAAGCCAGAAATTGTGGTTTGTTGTTCCTTATAGGGGAGGGGCAAAGCCAGAGCCATCTCTGCATTCATGATAAACCAGTGACTATGGTGTACAGTGGTACCTCAAGTTACAAACACCTCAGGTTACAAACACTTTGGGTTACAGACTCCGCTAACCCGGAAGTTGTACCTCGGGTTAATAACTTTACTTCAGGATGAGAACAGAAATCATGTGCCAACAGCACGGGAGGACCCATTAGCTAAAGTGGTACCTCAGGTTAAGAACGGTTTCAGGTTAAGAACGGCCCTCCGGAACAAATTAAGTTCGTAACCAGAGGTACCACTGTACTACAGGGACAGGAAACATGTCCAGAGCCTGGACTCCAAGCTCCCTTAGAAAGCATGGCCAATGGTTGAAGAGAAGAATTGTGATCCAGTTCTGGAGTGTCACCCATGGCTTGTTGTGTTGTGAGAATGGGGCACTGTGTTATGTGTTGCCATGAGAACAAATTGCTTTATTATAGCAAGAACTTTGAGAAGTGCAGGACAGACACATTTGAAATACATAAAAAGAACTAAAAATAGAGCTTGCTGGTCACAGGCATGATTTAAGTTCGTAATTTGTGAAGTTAAGCATACTGGGGCCTGGCAGAAGACGTTCACCTTATGCTATGCGGTCCTTTGAGCACAGCAGGATAAATATCTTTGGGACCAAAGATAAAAATTTCTTTCAGTTTTTAACAGTAACAAACCATTTAGCACAACCCCCAGACTGTTCTGTTAAAAAATGTTAAACCAAAGTGACCCTACCTGCTAGAGATGGGGGGAAGGCAATCAATAACAACACATTACACTGCAGCATGAAGTTGATGAGGCAAGAAGCAGTGTGTCTTGGACAAATGTTCAGATCACAGACAATGATGCTACACTAGACTAATACTACTAGCACAACTTTTCATACAGTAAGAATATAATTGATGTTGTAAACATTAAATAAAAACTAGTCTCAGTCTAACTTAGCTTTTAAGCCACAAATTAAGCACCTGTTTTAGCTAAGCTTGTGAAGCTGCACAAATTCAGTTGTATTCATCAATCTCAAATGCTCTGTAAGCCTATTTCAGAGCTGGTTTCTTGTGGAAAATGAGCTTCAAAGTTCAGGGAAGAACATTTTGTTTTCATTGTTGTTGGGGGAAGAGGAAGAAAGCAGAGAGACACTGGAAAATGCCTAGTCTGTTCAACACTATTCAGCACATCCTATTGCCTTTAAGCCTTTCCCCAATTTGTGCACTACAGCATCTAATCCTGGATTCATCTTGCATTAAATTATTTCGAATTACAGTTTAGTGGGACTATGGTTTCTTAACGCAACAATCCTGAGTAGCTGGTACACCCACCCCTATTTCTCTTTCCATGGGCTCAGGTGTTAACCCACTACTTTGAAATCGTAATTCCTAGCCAAACTTAATAGTAGCGCTACTTTTGTAAACGGAAAGCCAAGGCTCCTAAGCTTGGGAAACGCCATCACCTCTTTTGCTAGTTAACGGACCAAACAAAAGGCTGATAGTTGCCTAGAAGTCGCAGACTCTGAAAAGAGCTGCTTATCACAAACTTAAGATCTCCACTCGATCAAAACGTGGCTCTCCCCCTCCGCCCCCCCCAAAAATGCACGCAGGGGCTCGGCCATATAAACCTCACATCTGCCAGGAGATTAAAGACCAGCTTCACACCTGCGGCCGTTCAGACGCGCGCGAGAAACCCGGCGCGGCCCAAGACCCGTTTTTCCCATAACCCGAAGAAGGGGACCCGGCCCTTGCCGCATTTTTAACCACGTGGAGGGAGCGCGTGCCGACCTGGGCAAGGTTAGCCAGCAGGCGAAAGCCATTACGGTATGTACCGGGGGTCGGGGAGAAAATAAGAGAGGGCGGCGCTTCATTTGGGGAAGGGGGTCGGCACAAAACGCGAGTCCGGCGGAGAGGGGGCAAAGGGGGCCGGCGGCGGCCGTTGCAAAAGTGCCACCCGGGGCTGAGGCGAAGGTCCCCTTCCCCTCTGCCTTCAAGGGGAACTCGAGGGCGGGATCGCCACTTATAGGAGGGAAGCGGCAGCGGCGGCGGCACACGTGAGAGGAGGCACCGGGGAAGAGATGGTTCCGGGGGACCGGGGAAAAGCGCACCCACGTCCCCGGGGCTTCTGGCTCCCCTTCCGTCGAGCCGCCCCGCGCGCCATGGCGCTTCTCTCCCTCCGATTCCCCCCTCCCTCCCGGCCCAGACAACGCTGCTGCCGCCGCCGCCATTTTGTTCGCTCGACACAATGGAGCGCGCGCAAAGACAGAGACACAAGCGGGAGAGAGGATCCTCTTCGGAACGCAGGGGAACGTTATTCCCCCCCCTACCCCCCGCCGCACGTTCCCTCAGAAACGAGCCAAGCTCCCGCTGCCGCCTCAGGAGAACCCCGTGTTGTGGGAGGCGGGCCTGAGGCTTCTCCCTCATTCCCTCCCCTCGAAGCCCCTTCACTCACCTAGCGGGTTGGGCCCGTCGACAGCGGCGGCCTTTATCAACGGCCGCCCCGCTCCCCTCTCCGCCACAGAAAGCGGGCGGTTGCCGGTATCGGGCTCGCGGCTTTCCCGCGCAGAAGGCGGTGGCGGCGGCTACGGGGGGCGACGTTGACGGCAGCTTCTCCTCCTCCTCCTCTTCCGTCAGCCTCTAACTGCAGCGCGGTAGCGGCGGCGGCGGCGCGCGGGAGGGGGGAGGGGAGGGGCGGGGCTGCGCGGAGGAGAAAGGCAGGTCGCCGGACCACGTGGTTCGCGCCCCTCTCCTCCAATCGCGGCCGGGCGAGGAGGCGCGCGCCTTGCCTGCGGGGTGGAGGAGCGCGGCGTTCTAAGCCCTTCCGCCCCGCCTCCTTCCCCGCCGCCATCTTGTCTCCTCACACGCGAGCCGTGCGTAGCCGGCGGCCTGAGATGAGCGGGGCGCTCGACCCCGCGCGTCCCCACACACGCGAAACGGGACGGTTGCTTCCAAGTATTCGAGGAAAAGGGAGCGGTGGAGGCGGATGGAGGGCGCAACTACCTTTAGATATACAGTATATCTTTTTATTTTTATTGAACTGGTCGGTCTCTATCTTGGCACAGGCAGGGCAACCCGAAGCGTCGTAACAGCCACCGGCCAGCCCACCTTCTTCCACGGAACTAAGTGGAATAAAGCTGCGATCCTAAACACCCATAGCTTCGGCGTCAGGAAGCTGCTCATCAGGTCCATCTACCTCAGTATTGTCTGCACTGAGTGGCAGCAGCTTCCCAGGATTTCTGGCAGGAGCCTCTCCCAACTCTAATCTGGGGGTGTCGGGGATCGAACCCGGGACCTTCCGCTTGCAAGGCGGACGCTTTGCTCCTGAGCTATGGGTTGCTCGGAGTTCTTCAGTTTCTACGGGGCCCATCAAATAAGAATAAAATACTCACGGCTTAGGCACGCCCTTAATCCTTTTGTAGTGGGACGGCTTGTTAATAACCCGCCTGTAGCATTTATAAATTGCACCCGTTACTCGAAGCAGCCGAGCCGATAGCAAACTTCCGCTCAAGCGGACCTGCCTGCTTTACTTGGAAGCAAGTCCTATTGAAATTGGTGGGATTTGCAGTGCGATTCTAACCATATCTACACCCAAGCAAGTCATGCTGAATTTAGTGGCATTTGCTACCAGGTAAATGGGGATGGGATTGATGCCTTCGTCTTGTTATGTCTTGTTTAGCCGCTGGTGGCTCTCTCAGGTGTGATACAACAAGGGAAACACTTAAGGTGGTCGCCACATGGCTGTAGCCACATTGCAATTTAAAAGGGATCTAGGGGAATGTCCAAACGGAACTGGTGATACTAGGTATTGTTTTACTGCTTATATTTTCACATACAATACTGATTTTTAGTGGGATGTAAATTAAAAACGGAAGTAAGCGTGGAAAGGATAGCATAAAACAAGCTGCACACTACAGTTCTTATAAAATCCAGTAAAAATCTAGGAAACAAGCCCCACTGAACTCAGTAAGACTTATTTCTGTGTAAATAAATACGCTTAAGATTGGGCTGAAGAATGAAATATTAGAATAAGAATTGTGGGGTTGGAAGGGACCTCTAGGGTCATCTAGTCCAACCCCCTGCAATGCAGGAATCACAGCTAATGCATGACATGACCAACCTCTCCTTCAAAACCTCCAAGAAAGGACAACCCACAACCTCCCAAGGGAGTCCATTCCACTGTCGAACAGCTCTCACTGTCAGAAAGTACTTCCTGATATTGTCATAATCTCTTTCCTTGTAAATTGAATCCATTGGATTGAGTCCTACCCTCTGGAGGAGAAAACAAGCCTACTCCATCTTCCATGTGACAGTCCTTTCAATATTTGAATATGACTATTATATATTCTCTCAGTCTCTTTTTCCAGGCTAAGAATAACCACTCCCTCAATCATTCCTCATAACTCTTGGTTTCCATTCCCTTGATCATCTTGTTTGCCCTACTCGGCACATGTTCCAGCTTGGCAATATCCTCCTTGAATTGTGGCACCCAGAACAACACTATTCCAGGTGGGGTTTGACCAAGGCAGAATAGAGTGGTACTATTGCATCCCTTGATCTGGAGACTATACTGATTGATAGCATTAGCTTTTTTTTACTGCTGCATCCCACTGTTGACTCATTAGCTACCCCCCTCCCCAAGTTTGGTGTCATCTGCAAATTTGGTGAGCATCCCTTCAATTCCTTCATTCAAGTCGTTTATAAAGACATTGGACAAAAATGGGGCCAAGACAGAACCCTGAGGCACCCCACTTGCTACTCTCTTCCAGGATGATAATGAGCACTCTGGGTTTGGTCAGTCAACCGGCTACAAATCCACCCAACAGTTACCTAATCCATCCCATGTGTTACTAGTTGCTCTGCAAAAATATCATGTGGAACTTCATCAAAAGCCTTACTGAAATCAAGATACACTATGTCCACAGCATTCCCCTGATCCACCAGGCTTGTTACTTTATATACAGTATATATCAGGGGTCAGCAACCCGCGGCTCTGGAGCCGCATGTGGCTCTTTTACACCTTTGCCGCGGCTCCAGGGTGGATACTAGCGAGGGGAGGAGGCGCATTGTGTGCCCCGACACTCCCCACTGTTTTAAATGTCGCAATGGTTTTGCGGCTCCCAGTTTTTTTCCCTTCGGTCCAAGTGGCTCTTTTTGTCTTAAAGGTTGCAGACCCCTGGTATATATAAAAAAGGAATGAGATTCACCTGGCATGACTTGTTTTTTTAGAAACCCATGCTGGGTCTTAGTAATCACATCATACTTTTTCTAACTGCTCACAGACTGACTGTTTAATTAGTTAACAGGAACTCCCATAGAACTCAGTCTGCCTTACCCTTTGAGTCGTGCAGCCTTTGAGCATCATGTTCCAAGCAATGTTATAAAGTTGTTCAAGTTTCTGTACATCCTGGCTTTGCAGAATGACTGCTCTGAAAATTGGATTTAAGGAGCCAGTCCTTCCCAACTACAGATCATTGATGCCAGCTTACATGGGAGCAAAGACCAGAATTATTTGTATGGTCCACATCTCTCTAGCTTTCTGTGGTGGGGTGAAGAGAACCCCTTTTGTGATCTTGCTGCAGTATCCCACAATAATATGGGGATCCATTATTATTTTACAGTTATGTCATTCCTCCCAAAGGATCCAAAAGCAGCCATATAACATCATACTCAAAACAGCATTAAAACAATTACAAAAAAATGGAATTATTTATATTTTTTGGATTGATTCCTCACCCAAGCAAGCAGAAATGTTGGGATTTTAGTTAATTTAATCTGGTTGTGTTGACCTGTTAATTGTCTTAAGAGAGGGATTTATTGAAGCTAATATTTTAAAAAACAAATCTAGTGAAGAAAATATAGAAGTTAAGCTTATATTTCCAAATTTGTTCTGGTTTCACAAATCATTTTTGAGGGAGAATAATACAGTGCAAAATAAGAGCTCCCGTTTAATACACTGAGCCAATGTTTCAAATGCAATATGCAGGGGGCACTTACATCAATTGCATTTTGGTCACTACTTGGGAATGCCAAGTACTGCAGTGCTGATTCCTTTCCAAACAACATTCCCTCTCACAGATATCTAGCACTTAAATGATTAATCTTTTGTTATCAGATTTTTTGCTCAAACAGATCTTGAAAAAAATAATAAATTGGGGGAAAGGGATGCCCACAGAAGATTGAAAAGGCACCCTAACACTTTATTAGAGTTTTTACTTTTTTCCTCTTAAGAGGTTTCTAAATTACTTTTTATTTGCACCTTTCATTTCTTCTCTCTGAAAATTCCTCTCCAGTCTCTGATGCTTCTTTTGTAACCATGCTCATCACCTCCAATTTGTAACCATCACCTCCAAAATTATAGGGACCAAATACTTGGCCTGGTCTGTATTGACCATGAGGCAATGGGAGGCAGAGGCAGGCTCGACTAGGCGCCTAATTCCAAGTTAGGCATATATTAGAACCCTGGCAGGGCGGTTGAGAGCAGAGAAACAGCAAAGGGTACAGGGCTCTTTTCTCACTTGTATACAAATTCCAAAGCCCCTTTAACTGTGGTTTCATATTTCAAGGTTTTGTTCTTGGCTGCAGCTCAGGGTTAGAGATGAAAGAGCTTTCGGAGAACTGCTCTCTAAACCCTGCACAGTCGCATGATCCTGGTAAGTCATGGTTTTCATTGCCTTGTGTGAAAAGTGGCAGCACTAGAACAAAAGGTCAGTGGGGAACATTGATGGGGAAACATGTATTTCTAGGTGGGTGAGTTGTGTTCCACATGTCAAGCTTTCCGAAAGAAAAATAACTACAGTTGTACATCGGGATGAATACGCTTCGGATTAAGCATTTTCGGGTTGTGCTCCGCGGTGACCTGGAAGTAACGGAGCGCGTTACTTTCGGGTTTCGCTGCGCGCGCATGTGCAAACCGTCAAAATGACATGTGCAGAAGCGCTGAAACGTGACTCGCACAAACGCGCGGACACAGGTTACGTTCGCTTCGGGATGCAAACGGGGCTCCAGAACGGATCCCGTTCGCATCCCGAGGTACCACTGTATATGTTAATGTAGGAATCCAGTCATGGTGGCAAGCTCCTTGTATGTGAACCAGGCCACACAATGGCCTTGTTGATTTATGGACTAAGAGGCTGACTTTAACCACTGGTTGGGGCCCAAGTTTGCACGTGCACCCCAGGAAGGTCACTTTGGTGCCATTTGGTTTCACGCCCTGAGGCGCACTCCATTGTCTCTCGAGATAGGTGAAAGCCAACAATTATGAGACCATTGAGTGGACTCCTATCACTTCACCCTGTGGATGGTGCTGCCTTAATTCTTCTCACACACAAAGTATCGCCTGCAAATAAATGCCTATTACATCAGAGAGGAGGATTCTAGCTCGCTCACTTCTATGCCAGTTTGCTACTGGCAGGAATGATCAGTAAAACAATAACAGCAGTTAGCAGCTTTATTATTAGTACATAGGGGGATATTCAGAAACGTGATCCCTGCCCCCAATCTGCAGATTAATGAGGTCCAAAGCCATCCTACCACCTCATTCCTATTTTGTACTGTTGCATGCATAGGCAGTCTTGGTTAGGTTTATTGGGTTGTGCCAGCAGAGGTGCGGGAACTGTTGTTAGGATCCCCAGCTCAATTAGCCCTAACAAGACAAGCATATTAACCTTGATGCCAGATAGTTCCTTTCTTAAGCAGTCCAAGCTCTGATCCCCCCCCCCCCCCGTTAGTTTGGGCATTAAGGAGACAATGGTCTCGGAGGTAGCCATACAAATCTGCAAATCTTTCTCGCTCTGCCCTATCAGTTCCTTTGGCTGTGGACTGAGCCTGTTGATTAGGGGTAGAGCTTGTGTTGAACTGCATGTTGTTATGATCCACATGTGTAATACAAGAATTTTCACATACTAGTGCTTGGTCAGGAGACCAGTTACCCAACTGTTCATGGTTGGAGGAGTTTTGACATGCATAGGTGATACTAGTTTCTCCCAGGTGTTTTCCAATACCTTTCCCCCCCTCTGGGATTTGAACATTTGTGTTGCCTCCCATTCTATCCACTGCTATGTCTAGATTCCCTCTTTTCTGATGGAGGCACGCTGTAGTCTTTTTAGAACATTCTGCCTTTTCCTACTTCTACTGCCTTCTGGGACTTTTGGCCTATATTGGGTCCCTTTGAAGTTCCTTTCAGGGGAAATGTTGCAGCAACACGAGTCTCCTATTCAATCAGAGAAGCATTATTCCAACTCCTGGATGCGTGTGCAAGCCTTATAGAGGCATGGGATCACTAGCAGAGCCAAACTGTGCTCTGGGACACATTCCTACATAGCTTCTGTGCAGAGGAAGGAGTCTGGGAAACAGTTGTGTTGAATCAAAGGTAAACTGTTCCAGAAGCTTCGCTAACTCCATCTTAGTAATCAAGATAACCCCACAATTAATTGGTAGTTCTTGCAGCAATAAGCTCATATATATTCACTTGCTTTGATATAAGCTAATTAGCAAGCTCTAATGTTATCCTTATCTGTCGGCTTGGGGTGCTGTGCTCTGAGCCCAGAAAGGGGAATCTGTAAGATTTGGGTGTTTGCCACCTATGCTCTCATCTGGTCAGGTAAAACGATGGGAAGTTGTGACCAAACTGACGTATGCTGCTTTGTGTATAAAGAATGTATGCATGTTTGCTTGGGTGCAGACGAGCCATCTCCTTGCTGCGGTAGCCATCTTGAGTCTGTCAAGGCTGGGAGACCTGGCAGGCTGATCTGTAAGTCTACACTTTACTTGAATAAAGCATTAGAACTGATCCCTCTGGTGTTTTTGACACCCTTCTTTGGTATCCCTTCACCCAACCACTTCCATGAGCCCTCCTTTGGGGCAGTGGATCACCCTTTTTTAATTTCCTTTTTGCAGACACTGGCTGCAAGGGGACATTTCTCCCATGTGCATCTGATACCTGCTAAATGCAGGCTTCTATTCTCATTTTCCTGTCAGCTGATGGGGAAGCATTTTGCCAGCACTTGAGCTTGGGGCTTCCCAGGCACTTGGGAACCCCACATAAGGGATTTTGACAGGTGGGGTGAGACAACCCCCTTCTCAACTGTGATGTCCTATTGAAAACATGCTCAGCAGGTGGGTTGTTCCCAATGCCTGAGATCACAGAATTACTCGTTTTGGGTGGTATCTTCTTTGAAATGAATGTCTCCTTAAGATATGCCAAGATCCATTTAATTACATCTGGGATTATCTCCAGTTAAAGTGTTGATTTCCAACCTGATTATGGAATCTGTTTACTCAGGTTCCTAAAAGAAAGAGGGCTGTGCCAAACACATAATTTCCCCTTTCTATTAAACTGTTTTTTGGACTAGAGTTCAGTTAAATAAATAATATAATAGGTTTTCCTTTAATATATATTTGAAGTCCCCCAACCGTTTAAATGTAGAACATCTTCCATGCAGTGGATGAATTTTGGGGTGGGGAAGAAAGACACCACTAATTACTTTGATTTCTAAAAATACAAATTGCATTAGACTTCATAAGTTTTGTTGGAATTACAGATTGAGTAAAAAAGAAAACCACACTAAACAGATGTACAAAACAAAATGTTTAATGTTTCAGTTATAAAATAATTTTTGAAAGATACAGGGATGTATAGGAGAGTAGAAAAGGACTATAAAAAGCAAACACAAAATTAACTGCCCAGATTTAAAAATTGATTGATGGTATTATCATTACCTTTGTGGAAAGTTACCAATTCCTGTAGCCACAATTTGGAACTCTTTCCAACTAATCCTCCTACATCCTTGCATTTTAGTGATACATTTTTGCATATATTTAGGTTCTGCCTCATATTTAGTTATTCCATAGTTTATACTTACTTTACTCCCCCCTCAACAAACACACAGCTTTTTTCTTGCAAATAATATTTTGAAGACCTTTCCCTATTTTGCAAAGTCAAAGCTGCTACAACCATTTTGCCCCATCCTCATTCAAGAAACAACAGCACCGGCAACCCCAACAACAGTTGCCTATAAGCTTTTCTTTACAGCATTTGTATGAAAGGCTGCTAGTCATTTGGAAGAGGTTATAAATTATCCACGAAGTCAACGTGCCATGCTCAAAGGCAGCTTGCTCCTTTAAAGGTGTCTATCCCAAGTGGCAAGGGGTGTATATAAAGAAGTAAACGCCACGACAAGGAGAAAAGACACTTGGTAAATACAAACGGTTAAAAAATGTGTTAAAAAATGATCCAACTTCTCCAAGATTATTTGTTTTAAGATTAAGCCAGAACACTTGGATTGAGGCCAGTTTGGAGTCTACTGAAACAAGTTAATGGAATGAAATCAGCTCAGCTGGCTAGCGGGTTACAGCCTCCCTGGACTGCTGGCAACTGAAATCTACTGCTTCTGCAAACTGCTTCTGCACTGGCAAGCAACAAAACCCAGCCGCTCCAGGCCGATAGTGAGCAGGGAGGCTTTGATTGACTTAGCAGCAGATATCTCTACACTCAAGACTTCAGATGGAGATATTGTGACACAAGATCCTCATTTTTCAAAGGGGGGGGGGGAGAGTGTTTCCAAATCAAGGGAAGCTACTGTTGTTCTGGCACAGCAAGTGGAAGCAGGACCCCACAGATTGCTGCTCTTCAAAGAAAAGGCTCGACAAATCTCAGACTGGTTAATTCCAGTGCGTCTGCTGCATGCTACCAACGGAAGCAACAGGAATGAACGGGAGGGCCAGCTATGCATCCGCTTGCTGTTTGTTGGTCTTCTTCAAGAGCTTTCTCAGATTAGATGACATGAAGTAAGGCTTTTCGGTAGAGCCATCATTACGTTCCAGATCTTCCACTGCAAAGAGACACAAATTCCCCCAGCAAAAGGGATGTGAAAAAGTCTGTCTCCCAAGTACCAAATGGCAGGTATCTGGGATCAAGTAAGGCCCTTACAAAGGGAAAGTGTTAGCAGTCTGAACCCGTGAAAACACAGGGAAACCTGACACCACTAACTGGAGGCTGGGACTCCCCCCAAGCAAGCTAGTGTTTCCTAGTCTAGATGTATGTCCCAAAACCGAGAAGGATTTCGAACTGACAAGTCAATCCTTCCACTTTTCCTCAAGGAAGATTGAACAATTCCTCATGATGGAGGACATGGTCGGGATGGGTTTCCTCAACCATGTCTCGGTGCGAGGAGATGGATCACCCCATTCTCAAGGCTATGGCAGTGTCCTAATGATTCCACAGATGTCAAGATCTAGATGAAATCTCACATTTGAGGCAACATTTGCATTAAGAAAATTAAGTGGGAAGCTCACAACTTCCCTCCTCTCTGCATGTAACTTGAGTGCTTAGAACAAAGCTGTCAGTTGAACCTTTCAATGCACAACAAGCAGGTACATATAAACTCTGAACTGCACAGCTTCTTTTGAGGATAGAATTTAATTCAACAGCCTTTTAAAATAAGCAAGATTCCAGGCAAGCAGAATCAGAGGAGAAGATGAGTGCAATTTGCATATTTAAAATGCAGAATCAAGTTTTTACACCTGCATTCTTTTTCCAAGGGGTGGCAATGAAGAGGATCTTTTTTCCTCCATGGGGAAGCAGAAAGAGAAGCTGAAGAATACTGCCTCTGGCCGTGGCAGCAACAGTGGTGGTGATAAGTTATATGAAGTTTTGCTCTGCTTGTCTTTTCTTTTGAAATTCTTTATCTTTTTTATTAGCGTCAAACTGATCAATTAAGCTTTGTAAGGAGCACCATTCCCCTACTCACATCCTGAGAAATACTATGCCTCTTTTGTGATATAAGATACAATGTATGTGAACAGCATACTGGCCCATTTGCCAGACGCATATCAAACCTGCATCTGGCCTTCTCTTCACAAAGCTCTGTCTTTGCAGCCTTTTGTCAACTTCCCTGCATATGTATTTTTTTCAAACTGGTGCAGCTCAAGAAAGAGGCATATTCCTGATACAGGTGTGAGTGATCTGCTCAAAAACAAAATTGGCTGCTCCAAAAAAAAAAAAAGCTTTTTGGATTTCATACCAGTATTGCCTCTGGAAAATGATTTTCACCTTTTATTTTGCTTCCAGAACCTGTTTAGCCAGAGACAACCCTGGGGCAGAAGAAATGTGTACACATCATGGGAAGCAAAACCTTTCTCAAAGCACTTCCAACTACATTTAGCTCCTTTAGAAAACAACTGCCTGCCACTAGCCACAGGTGTTTCCAGGCTGGCCATTGTCTCATGAAACACTGCAGATGCGAGAATTTATAATGCTTTTTGGTCTCCAATTTCATCTTAAAAAAACAAGTTTCCATCTCATTGTGATGAAGATCACTAGTGAGTCTTTGTCAACATTCATTTAATTTTGTTTTGAATTGACCCTATGCTATCTTTTGCATGTTTACAGAATAATTAACTCTCAGGGATAACCAAGAAGCCAGGGACAAAAAAAAATCAAAAAAATCTTATCATAATTATATTTAATCAAAGGTAATTCCAGACCATAAACTTGAAGTGGATAATGTTCCACATGACACCTGGAGAGCTAACATAAATGAAGTATCTCTTTAATAAGGCACTGAGTTTTCCGAGATGGAACCTGGAAGTTTGATGCCGTGTGGAACAAGATGCAGAATGTATTAAGTGTTTTCAAGAAAACCTCCCAATACAGTGTTCTGTCTGCCCCACTTTCCTTTCTGACTGCCTAGCCTCTGCCAAACCTACATAATTCCTTTTTATCCTTTCCTAAGCAAATTCACAATTGTTTGCTAACTCCCCTCCCCATCCCCATCCCCATCAAAAACAACAACAAAAAAACCCTTTAGTTTTACAATGATTGGAGCCAGATTTGTTTTTCTGGCACAAGAAATAAATATCCTGACATATGCTATGTTCAGCTAATAAACTTTTGTAAAGCAGACAAAAATAAACTCCAGCTTTATACAATACTGAAAAACCAAGAGGGGGGTTGTATTTTGAGGAAGGAAATCTAATACTTTATCTGCCATAGGAAGGAGATATCAGTCAAAGATTTTTCAAGATCCTTATTAGCTTAATTAAGGACTTTGCAAAGATGTACATTGGGAATTTCAAGGCTACACTGGGAATTTCAACACTACATTTTGACTATAGTTCAGTATGGTATGCTAAAACTTATGTATTTCAGTGGGCTTAAGCATACATAGCTGTGTGGGATTGGGACCATAGCCTAGGAAGAGAGCCATTAGGGATATTAGTAGCCATTACTTTCCACATCAAGACAAGCTGTAGAGCAGTTACAAACAAGCAAATGTTGTATATTGATAAAGATTACTCTGCAAGCTACTGTAATCTCAATGGCATGCTAGAGTGTCAGACCAGTTCAGTAAAAGGGATCATCCAGCAGGATAGCAAGCTTGCAGGTTGCACAGAACACTGCTTTTCAACAAAATAAGTAAAGGAACTGAAAATGAAGGAAACTCAAAGCTACTGGGAGAAATGGCTGAGCCCCACAAAGTTGCAGCAGGAACTTCAAAACAAAGAAGCAACTCTTCTCGGCAAGACATCATTACACTAAATGCATGGATGCATTTGCATACCCGCTTTGCTGCTCTGCTAGAATCCCTTTCCTCCTCCACTTACTTCTGCCTGGAAGCAAGTCCTAAGCAATTCGAAGCCTCCCGTCTAAGTAGACTCAACTCAAAACCAGCCCAACCAGCCGAAGATATCCCTAGCACCTCAACAATTTTGGTTCTTTTGTCCCTTTGGACAAAAGCATCTGCTCTCGAAATTCACCGATAGCCAAATAAATGGCTCTGTTCTACATCTGCCTAGTCAAGGAAAGGGCAAGTCCAAGAAATGATCCAATACGTAATGTAAATATCTGCAGCACCCACTCTGTACTGTATGCATTCTGCTTATTTATGCAACCGGTTAAATAGCCAGACTTGCTATAGCGATGGCATTTTGGGGAGAGCAGAAAACAGCACCACAGGGTGCAAACAACGGAGATGCGGCGAGTTTTCCTGACATTAAACACATTCAGCCTTGAACTTCCGCTTCCGCTCCTCTGGCGCCAGAATGTTTGCCTCCCACTTGCTAGACGAAGCACTGTTTCCCAGAACAGCAAAACTAGGAGGTTTGCACCAGTTCTCAGGGCAGCCATGAAGGAACAGCACCTGCACACGGACCAGGCAGGTGTGCACAAGGCTCACAGTGGGGAACCTGTGTGTGCCTCTCCCACTCCGTGCACCAGTCCCTATTCCTGGCTCTCAGCACTTTTGGAAGATTCTAGGCTTCCCTTCAGCAGGATTTCACTCAGTGCGGGGGACATGTAATAAGGCCGCTCAGGAGATCCATCATTCCTTTCCAGATCTTCACCTTTTGGGATCCCACGGAAGACAAGAGAAAGCAGCCGCAGGAGGATGGACAAGAGAGAAGCAAAGCAAAACAAATAAAGACAAAAGCAAAGGAACGCAAAACAAAAAGGGGAGAGAGAGAGAGAGAGAGAGAGAGAGAGAGAGAAGATTTGGAGTTAGTTGCAAATAGATTCCTCCACCCAGAAAAAGAGTAAGGCAGCTTAGGCAGTCAACTGCTTTTATGCTATGGAATATGCTTGCTACTATAGCGGAAGCGGAGGAGTTGCTAACTGAGCTGATGACGGAGAAATCAGAAGTTAATAGTTTCACAATCGCAAGAGGAGTCGGCTTGTACTGCCCTGCTACCACGGGGCTAAAACCTACATTACTGTACAGTGGAAATGAGTCATTTCCAGAACCAGAGAGCTGGTGTGGTGTAGTGCTTATGAGTGCTGTCCTTAGATCTAGGAGACCAGGGTTTAAATCCTCACGCAGCCATGAAGCTCACTGCAGGACCTTGGGCCTGTCAAATATTCCCACACTGCATCCCCTCCCAAACCAGCTGGGTGCCTATGGGAAAGCCACAAACCAAACATAAACTCAACAGCTGTCCCAAGTTTTCTCTCTCCTGCATCAGGTAGCCAAGAGGTATCCTAGCTCTGAATCTGGGGAGGTTCTGGATCACTGTTCTGACAAACAGTGAATGGCAGACTTCTCCTGATGCTTTTTAAAGTCTGCTGAATCGATGGCCATGACCATATCTTAGAACAGTGACTTCTGTAAGCCAACTGTGCGAGAAAAGTCCTTCCTTTGATCAGTCCTAAACTCTAGTTCTCCCCCCCCTTTTTTTGTGTGTGTGCCTCACAGTGTGGGAGGCAGAGGTAAGTAAAGACTTGAGATAGGAAGGCACATTCTGTCTGTCCTTGACTGCTACCTAATAGGGAAGACTGGGATGGCTACAGGGAGCCTCTCGGCTAAATAAAACTGCAACAATTCAGCCAAGTAGGCAGTCTTTTCTGCCTCTGCTGAAGATCTCTCTCACATGCACCTACAATTTGAGAAGCACTGAGGTGGTAAATGCAGTACCTAATGGGGGAAAGTCACAGCCGGATAGAGGGTTTCTAATTCAGAGAAAGAAAAGGAGTCGGGAAAGAGGCAGGAGACAACAAGAGCTGAATATGACCAAGGGAATGGGAAGGAAATTCTCCCTTGGGAACGGAATCGATTGGCTGCCTCAAACACATTTTAAGTCAATATGCAATTCTGCTGCAATGCAAATGCAACAAAAAGACAGGCACATATAGGGGCACTCTAGGATTTAAATGATCAAAAAGGGCAACTACTTAAATCAAAATAAATGTGCAAGTTACCTAAACCTCAGAGGTGCCCTTTTCAGATATTATAGGAGGAAGCATAACGTAGCACGGCAATGGGAGCAAACCCCAATACAGTAAGTGGGCATCTTTCTGAATAAGCATGAATAGGAGCGGGCTGTACATTTTAAATTACCACTCTTCATTTTTTAGCCCTCCCCATGACAAAAAGATACTAAAATGCAAAGTAGGCTCAAAATCAAAACTCTCAGCCTTCCCGGTTAGAAACTGCCCTCTTCAGTTAATCAGCTTCAGCTGATTAAATCTACCAATTAAACTTCGTAATCCAATTGATTAGCAAACGAGTGCTGGAAAATACAGAGGCAAAATAAGGGCAGAAGGGCTGAGGGTTCTTTTGTAGCCTACAGCTTCTATGACTGGTATTCAAAAGTCAGTTTATCCGAATGTGTCCCCCAGAAGAGAAGTCAGTGACAGATGACATGACATAGATCACAATGAATCTGTTAGCCTTCAGTGCACAACAGCAGTCTGTGCTGTAACAGACTGACATGGCTGTTATCTGGGCTGGAATATTCACTAGAGCCTAACCTTTTGACAAAACCAAGCCCCATGCAGGACCATTTTTTCTGGCCTGCATCATGCCTTCTGAGGGTCCTCTTGCACTATGGCCCAAGGAATCAGGAATTTGTGGTTCTTTTGTGGGTAGGGGAGGCATAGGAGAAACTGCCTGCAGGACATTATCAGCAGCTGCTGGTTTAATACCACAGTGACTGGAGCATTTCCTTTACAGTTTATAGTGCTTGGGCAAACGTGCTTGTTTCACTAGAATGGCACCAGAACTGGATACTTACAGAAACACAGGAAGAGTGTGTCCACACACATGGCATACACACTGAAGAATCCGTGTGCAATTAGATAGGAGCCTACAACCACCGTCTGCAAGAAAAAGCAGAGAATCATCTCTGTTAGAGCTGCATCTCAGCTAGCCAGCGGCTGCAAACTAGGAATGGCAGTGAAGCTGGACCTTTTGCAAGAAGTCAAGAGTTGAAACCTGGGTTCATAAAAGTCAAGATGATGACCTTGGGCCAGCCAGTTACTTTCTGCCAAAACTCACAGGGTTCTTGTGAGAATAAAATAGGTGGCGGAGAGAACCACATTCACCACCTTCAACTCGTTGAAGGTGAAATAAATGTAAGAAAGAGTGTCCAATATAGATATTACTGCAAATTAATAGTGGTTTTCTCCTCCCTTCCCCTGCGTCCTCAACAAGCAACACAACTAACAAGGACTAACTCAACCTATCATAGCTGAAAGACAGAGAATATGCGAAAGAAACTTTAGCTGCCAAGATATGTAGCAGGGGGGTTAAGAACTGAAGAAGTCCTTAGCTTAGATACCAACCAGAATGGGGACCCAGTAGTAGTTGAGGGGTGGTGCTGTGTCTTGAATAACTTTTATCCTTTGGGTGAAAAAGAAGAAGGCAAGTATACCTAAAAGAGGAAAGAAAAACAAAATCATTTCAACTCAGAATTTTCTGTCTGATCTTCAGGTCAAACTTTTGAATCCATTCCTCCCCTCCTCCACCTCAGAAGCTATTCCCTCTGTGCCCCATGCATCTTTCGACAAGGTCTCTGCACAAATAAACATCCCCCTTCTCTGCAAAATTAGCACTTGGACCTTGCGTTTTCTATCTGTGTGTAGTGGGAACAAGCTGAGCAAAAAGGAAGTAAGAAGCAAAACAATGCTGGGAATGAGGGGGCGGAGGGCCTCTGCAAATGGAAGGCATTTCATTCCCGAGGAGAAGCAGAATAAATCAGTTCAGAGGATGAAGGATATTTGAGAGGAGGCCTGAAATATCCCCAAGAACTTACCAACACTTCCCACAATCAGGAGTTTGCCAAGGAAAAGCAGGAAGTCTGTGACTTTATCCAGAACAGCAACCCTGAAAGCAGATAGAAGGAGAAACAATAATTTTCTAAGCCTCCTCACCGTTGTGGAATTATGTTAGAGAAATATCTAGCAATGCCTAGAAGAGATTCCCGAGTAGAGTTTCTGTAGGCAGCCTTTCCCAACTTAGTGCCCTCTAGATGTTGTTGGACCACAACTCCCAGAACATCAGGCAGTCTTAACAGCATGTAGAGGGCACCAGGTTAGAGAAGGCCACTTTAGATTATAGGTAAATGAACCGCCAGGCATATCCCCTTGCTGGACTGGGCACAACCTACAGATCATGGGTTGCAGACCCCTGCAGTGCACATGCCATTTTTGTGGCCCAGGATTTATATTGTTTCCCCATTCACACCTCTGATACTGGACTTTACCATGCCTCTTCCCCCCTCCACATTTCTCCTTTGTGCAGGGAAATTCTTAAGTCTGCATTCCCTCAAATAGCTAGTTCAAACAGAGCACATGAATCAAGCTGGTTCGCATCAAAATCACCAAGTTTGCAAGAAAACGATCCATTCCCAATTTTGAATTTAGGACTGCACAGGAAATACAGAGCCCTGACCACATCCCCCAACCTTGCCTATAAGCCAGCACAAAGTTAATAATAATTTTATTATTAATATGCCACCCATCTGACTGGGTTGGCCCAGCCACACTGGGCAGCTTCCAGCAAAATAATAATAATAATAATAATAATAATAATAATAATAATAATAATAATATATTTTAAAATTTCCTGCTTTCAGGTGTCTTCTAAAAGTTGTATAGTTATTAATCTCCTTGACATTTGGTGGTGGTGGGACTCCACAGGGCAGGTGCCACTACCGAGAAGGCTCTCTGCACCAGCCAACTGACATCTATTCCCTATTGCCCATATGCCTATTTGGGTTTGGGCAGTGGTTTTGGCACGTGGGATCCTTCCCAGTTCTAAAGATATGGGATACGACACCATGTCATTTTATACTGTGTGCCAGTTGGCAGAAGCTGCGCACCCTCTCTGGTAGCTCTGAGAGGATTATTCAGCATGGGGCCGGGGCGGGTGGGAAGGCTGTCTCTGAACAAAGTGCTTAAAAAGAGTGGGGAGGGCAATGAGAAGGAACCTTAAAGCTGGAAGAATTTCATCCCAAAGTAGCTTGGCCAAGGAAGATGCTCCCCCACCAGTCCAAAGAAGCTGGCTATCCCTGTTTAAAGCCCTGAAGCAGTAATAGCCAGGCAACTCATTGGGGCAGGCCCTCACCTGACGATATTCCTCATGAGCAGGAAAAAGGCATTTCTTGCAGAAGTGCAGAAGTTAGTGCCATAAATAGCAATCTGTGGGAGGGAATATGAGAAAGAGAATATGACAAAGAGAATATGAACATTATGTTAACTTGTCCAGGGTACTTTAATCAGGCGCTTTTGACCTCATGCCCCAGACCAGATGGATGATTTACATTGATCGTGACTATGTGACATTTGCTCAGCATCAGTGCTGCTCTGTTTCCAGAATGCAAAGAGGACTTGCAGGCAGAGAGAGCATGTTGGGAGCTTCTGTGCTTTCCTTTATTGTGTCTCTCCATGCTGGTTCTTGTCAACTGTGGCCAAAGGCGGGATGACACCAAATGCAAGAATATAGATTGAATACCTCAGCAGTTAACATAGGATGGTTTATTGGCTTAGCCCAAAATGTTTCAAGTCTGTTGAACAACCAACACAGCTTTTTTTTTTAATAAAAAAGATACCGTATTTTTCGCCCTATAGGACGCACTTTTTCCCCTCCAAAAATGAAGGGGAAATGTGTGTGCGTCCTATGGGGCGAATGCAGGCTTTCGCTGAAGCCTGGAGAGCCCCACCCCCAGCCCCACAAGCTCGGGGGACAGCGGGGAGGCGGAACGCCGCCATCCTGTTGTCCCCCGACCTGGTTTGGAGGCTGGCGGCGGGGAGAAGCCTGCTCCTCCCCGTCGCCAGCCCCGCAAACTCGGGATAGCGGGAGAGGCACGGCACGCCTTTCCCGCTGTCCCCTGACCTGGTTTGAAGGCTGGTGGTGGGAGAAGCCTGCTTCTCCCCGCCGCCAGCCCCACAAGCTCGGGGGACAGCTTCCTGTCCCTGCCCCGCGCCTGGGGGGGGAATAATTTTTTTTCTTTATTTCCCCCCCAAAAAACTAGGTGCATCCTATGGGCCAGTGCGCCTTATGGGGCGAAAAATACGGTAGTCATATCATCTTCCACGCCATATCTTTCAATAGAGCTCAAACCATAATGTCAACAGATTCAAAACACATTTGAGTCAATAGAACACCCTCTCTGCATCTTTGAGGTCTCCTCTTCATGTCCTTGTCATCAGAAGAACCAGCACAGGTTGAAAGAACAGGGATGTCTTGAGTACAAGGTTTGGTAGCAGTACCAAACATGTCATGTTACAGCATTCCCCAAATCACAGGTATCACCAGAGCTTACCAAACTGTGTGTCGCGACATGTTAGTGTGTCGGCTGCAGTGTGTAGGTGTGTTACACAAATGCAAATTGCTCCCCGTACTCCTCCCAGGGCTGGAGAGGGGTTAGTTTAACTTCCAGCTTGCTAGTAAAACTGAATTACTGCGTTGCAAAATGTTGCGTGTCTAAAAGGTGCGTCACCAGCATGAAAAGTTTGGAAAGATTTGACCTAGACACATTCCAAGCCTCAATACACCTGAAAACAGAGGGCGGATCAACACTTGTGGTTTTTAATGCTAAAAAAAAGAGTTAAGCGATGATTCTGATAACCATATCGCCATATGACGTTATTTTTTAACATTCATAATGTGCTATTAAAATGTGACACCAGAGGGTGCTGCAGAGCAACCAACTACAATACGATCTTTATTGTCATTGTCCCATACAGAACAACGAAATTGAAAAAATCTACATGAGACATTCAAAACCAACAAGCCTGCTACTGGAAACCTGGAAGATGGTGTGGAAAGGAAGCAAAGGAGAAACCAAAAGCGGACCTTCCCTGTCTTGACGTTTTAGAACGATATTTCTAATATCATTCTAATAACGTTTAAAAGGTGAGTGTAGATCTAGCCAGAGGGTTCTTCAAGGTCTAAAGCAGGGACATATATACTATGAAACTAATGAAGGTTAAGCTTCAAGGCCTCTAATCCTGGAGGAGCCCCAGAAGCAATTTAAGTCCACATTGCTTTTTTTAAAAATGGGTCTAGTAGGCGCAATTTGAGTCGCACGACTTAAATTGGTTACTTTTTTGTTGTACAGTCAAATCTCGGTTCCTGAATGCCTCCGTTTTGGAACATTTTGGCTCCTGAATGCCAAAAACCTGGATGTAACAGCTCTGGTTTTTGAACAATTTTCGGAAACAATTTCCGGCTTCCGAGCCGCGTTTTTCATTTTTTCCCATTGACTTTGCAGCCAGCCTACTGATCCTAGGTTTTCGAACTTTTCGGAAGCCAAACCAGTCTTCCGGAACGGATTAAGTTTAAAAACTGAGGTTCCACTGTATACATTTCAACAATCCCAAAGTCTGAGATTCAGTAGCACAGATGTTGTAAAGGTTGTTGTAAACGACCCCACTGAAGAAGCCAACAGTGGTTACCCAGACCTCATTGCTGGTTGCAAAGGGGGCCCCCATAACAGTTCAGGCTTCAGGGCCCCCAAAATGTACGTCCACCCCTAGTCTAAAGTATGACTAAGGCATCTAATAGCCGCTCCTGCTAATGGCTTGGCTAACTGGTTTGGTAGTCATCCCCATGATCATCTGAGCATCTACAACTCTGCATGAATTCCCTGAGAACGGTCAGATTCCTCACCATAATGTAGGCATTCCTGTTCAAGAACTTGATGAACTTCTCGAGGCACCAGAAGCAGCATTTGAGACAAGTCAAGAAGAACTTGGCACACTTGTTGTCGGCAGCTAATGCAAGGACAGCAACAAGGGAGAGGAGGAGAAAAAAATATATTTGTCAGACTGTGTGCACAGTTGCTCACAAGCACAGAATCTGGAATTATCATTAACCCTTGAAGGATCCTAGCCTTTGTTATTAAAAAGAGCAGCTTTTTAAAAGGGATAACTTCAAGAGTTATGCCCTTGGTCCAGGGTGCTGTGGAAAGCATCATTCAAGACAATGAGTAAATGTCAGCATGCTAGGATCTGTGTGTGCACCAGACCTGCTGGATCAAAGCTTCTGTCTCCGTGAGCAGGGTGGGGTAGGGAGCTGCAGTGCTCAGGGGCCAGGGCTGTCTTGGCTTGTGGAGCTATTTGTAGTTCCCTCTTCCCCACCCTGTAATATACAGTCGTACCTCGGAAGTCGAACAGAATCTGTTCCGGAAGTCCATTCGACTTCCAGAACATTCAGAAACCAAAGCGCAGCTTCTGATTGGCTGCAGGAAGCTTCCAAAAATAGTTTGCAAACCAGAACACTCACTTCCAAGTTTGCGGCTTTTGGGAGCCTAAACGTTTGAGAACTAAGCTGTTCGAAAACCAAGGTACGACTGTACTGGGATATTCTGCTGCCACTACTCAATTACCTGGCAAAAATTCCCCAAATTTCAAGCCCTGACTGCATAACAAAGATGTGAGAAAACTGCAGAAAGAGACATCTGCAGAAATTTCACACTATTTCCATAGCTTGTTTTCTTGGCACAATTTTTACTTTGCTTATTGGGAGTTGTAACTCATAGGCTTAACTGTATTCTCGGGCCAGGCACATCCTTCAACAGCACCCCGGAGCATAAAAATATCCCCTCTAAGAATACAAAAGGAGAGACTCAAGAATCCAAAGGCAGCCCCAAGATGTCTAGCTAGGTGGCAGAGAGAGAGGGAAAGGGAGAAGATCTTCCAATCTAAACATGGAAAAATGATTTCATGCCAACTGAGCCTACCGATGCATGACCAAAGGAAAGAGGCAGAATCTCATTCCTAGCACACTTCCTGTACTAAATCCTTCCCCCTGCTCAGTACCTTTTAGCCTGTGATCCAAATATTCCAGCATGACTCGAATGACCTGGACAATAGCAAGAATGAGGGAGCCGAAGGCTAGTGAGCCAGTGTGATACCTGTTGGGGGAGCAGAATAATAATAATAATATTAATATTAATAATAATAATAATAATAATAATAATAATAATAATTTATTTATACCCCGCCCATCTGGCTGAGTTTCCCCAGCCACTCTGGGCGGCTTCCAATCAAGTGTTAAAAACAATACAACATTAAATATTAAAAACTTCCCTAAACAGGGCTGCCTTCACTACTGAGAAGGCCCTCTGCCTGGTTCCCTGTAACTTGGCTTCTCACAATGAGGGAACCACCAGAAGGCCCTCGGCGCTGGATCTCAGTGTCCGGGGTGAACGATGGGGGTGGAGACGCTCCTTCAGGTATACAGGACCGAGGCCGTTTAGGGCTTTAAAGGTCAGCACCAACACTTTGAATTGTGCTCGGAAACGTACTGGGAGCCAATGCAGATCTCTCAGGACCAATGTTATATGGTCCCGGCGATCATTTCCAGTCACCAGTCTAGCTGCCACATTCTGGATTAATTGCAGTTTCCGGGTCACCTTCAAAGGTAGCCCCACGTAGAGCGCATTGCAGTAGTCCAAGCGGGAGATAACTAGAGCTTGCATTTGCTGTGGCTTCAGAGCATTTGTCAACTCTGACAAAGGACGTTGTATCAGCCTGCACAGTGGGATAGGAGAGCCTCCTTGTCTAGCCACTAGGTACACTAGCCTCAGTTTCTCAAGTTCCATTTTGAACCCCAATTTCCATATTGGGCTTTGCAGCATATCCTTATGGGCTGCTGGCCTACTTCTAAGGCTCATTTACTCCAACTGGCTTTAAGCTCCCTCTACCGAGCCTGACCTCCTCCTGGGAAGAAATCACCAAAGCCCTCTTCAGTCATGGAACCATGCTAAGCACCTTCCTGGAGCTCGCTTTGATATTAAATGCTTCTCGTTCTGCCCTGGGACACCCCCACAGATCATGCAAATCAACCGTCTCGAAATTATCCCGATTCAGATAAGATGTCAACCAGAGATAAGGTTGTTGTTGAAGTCCAAATCCCATCAGCCCCAGCCAGCATGGCCAATATCCAGAAATGATGGGAGTTGTAGTCTGGCAACATCTGAAGGGCCGCAGGTTGCCCAGCCCTGATGTTAAGTGATAAACAAGGCTCTGTTCTCTGTATGCAATTGAAAATAACAAGCCTCTGTTGTGTGCCAGCTCCTAGGATATCAAAGCTCTTTTCTGTACCACAATGACTTGAACGCTCTACCATTTTCCAGTCTGGATGCCCTATCTAGCCCAGAGTGCAGATAGTCCAGTACTGAGCTGAAATCACTGTGCAGAGACCTGCTTTGTTTATCTAGGATCCCGTTCAGCCAACAAACCCTGCATCCTCCCCTGGTCCTGCAGTGTGCAGGGCAGTGTTTCTCCAATTTGGGTCTCCAGCTGCTGTTGGACTACAATTCCTATCATCCCTAGCCAGCAGGACCAGTGGCCAGAGAATGATGGGAGTTGTAGTCCAACAACAGCCGGAGACCCAAAGCATGAGAAACACTGATGCAGGGACTTCCGACGGTCAAGAATTGCATGCTGCAACTCTCCCGCCCACCCCAGTCTTTGTACCTGAGTGCTCTGCCAAAGGAGGAGAAGAGAGGGAAGGCTGGCATGTCATCTGGTTTCTTAAAGGCCCAATAGTATGAGGCAAAGGCTCCGGCCAGCGTGACTTGGCCCAAGGCAATGACAAAGTTTGCCAGCCAGAAGAACATAAAGACATTGTAGATCTGGAAGATGATGAGGTACTTGTGGTAGGTGCTCTCGCCACCGTAGAAGGCAAAGAGGCAGCGAGCGCTTGGGCACACTTTGGTGACATTGGAAGTATTGAAGGTCTAAAAAAAAAAGAAGGAAGAAAATGATATTACTCTCATCGCTATGGGAGCCAGACAGGCAGCTTCAGAATTCCACTTGAATATATTTTCATTAAGGATTTCTTACGTTTACAAAAAATACATGCGTTTTTTCAAGTTGTGTTTTCTACAGTTTCATTTCTTGTGAGACATTAGTGTTATATACAGTGTTAGATTGGGAAGAAAAAGGCGGAAAGAGGGGGAGGAGGGAATGGTGAGTGGGGTTGGGTGACAATGCTTCTATTCTTCTACTTAGTGTGTAGGGGGTTTTTTTGTGTCAACATCACTTGTGTGGGTTCTCTTACTCTTTGCTTGTTGTATTTCCTTGGTGGTGAGAGAGCCTGGGGGTGGCCTAGGGGTATGGTTGACTGTCTTTGGTTGGCTGTAGTAAGATTTGTTTTTGTGTGTGAGTGGGGTGTGTGTGTGTGTTTGGATCAGGTCAGCCAGATTGATTTGTATGCTGTCAGCAGATTCTTGTTGTTGTCTTGTTGGGCTGTGTATGTGATAAAGGGGAACCCTACCAGGGTGAAGGTGCCCACTTGAGAATGAGGGCGTGTGGCAGTTCTGTTTGCATCATGTTCTATTTTAGAAATCGATATGAGTACCGTATTTTTCACCCTATAGGGCGCACCAGCTCATAGGGCGCACCTAGTTTTTTGGGGGGGAAATAAAGAAAAAAAATATTTTTTCCCCCCAGGCGCGGGGCTTCCCCCGACCCCAGCCCCCAGAACAGGCTGCTATCCGCAAGCCTTGGGAACCCAGCGGGAACTCCCACCGGGCTCCACAGGCTTGCGGATAGCTTCCCGACCCCTCTCGCTCTCCAGGCTTCAGCGAAAGCCTGCATTCGCCCCATAGGACTCACAAACATTTCCCCTTCATTTTTGGAGGGGAAAAGGTGCGTCCTGTAGGGCGAAAAATACAGTACTTAGATCTCAGCAGGTTGATGGGAGGAAGCTGCAGCTTGCGACATTAACATTTTGAAATCTCTCCCCAAATTGTGGGTCAGTATTTTAGAGTTGGGACCCTGCCAGAAAAAATGAAGTCAGGTCACTCTTGCAAACATGTCATCTGGGGCTTCACTTTTCAGTTCTCCACAGGTTGGGCAGGCAGGGGGAACTGAGATATTGGGTCAAGCCATATTTCCCACCTCCTCAAAGGGGTGGGCAAATCCCCAGCAGGGGGACGACTCTTACTGCATAGCTTTCATGGCGTTTGGCTGGGATGAGGTGGGGACACAGGGAAGCAAAACCACAATGTGAAAGGGGGTAATATGTAGCATGTACAACTGATCAGGAAGTTGGGGGCAGGCAGCAGCTGATTTCATATACAAACACAATCAATGAACTTACGCCTCTCCCAGGTGCTGGCATTACCCCTGCCTCATCCTTTTGAGAACTAGTTCCCTAATCTGGTATCGTCCAGATTTGGGCAGACACCATGTGAGAGGTTTGCAGTTATCACAAGATAACTTGACTCTGTGAAACTTCAATCACAGAGCGAAGTGGGCTTTCTGCCTCCCCTTATCAGGTGACCATCAGACCACACAAGTTGTCCGAATCCACCCAGAATCAGGATGCAAGGGAGATCCCACAGCCTCCATGGGCCACTCAGAATTTAAGCTTTCTACAACAGAAGTTCCCAACCTGTGGTCTGCAAGCTTTATTCAGGTGACCCGCAGTGTGTCTGTGGACTTGTGAGTGAACGTTCGTATCAATTTTTAATGGCGTTTTTACTGCTTCTTTTATTTCCTATACTTTATGTTACTGTATTACAATCTGAATTCATTATCGAGTTTATGAGATTTCTTAATTTGTAAGAAATAAAAGCAGCAATGCAAATACAATTAAAGATCACACAGCACACCACATTACAATTGCTACAATAGGAAGAAAAATAATTAAGACCCTCGGCAGATTTTTGAGCAGTCTGGCAGGGGAGGAGGAAGCATTTGGGAATGAATGCCTGTTCCAGAGTATTTGGGCCAAGTCTGCAACGTGACTCCTGGAGCTCTGCCTCAATTCCAGAAGGAAGAATAATGCTGTATTCTGTACCCAGCTGAACCTTCAAGAGAAGCCCCGTGGAGAAAGCAAGACAATAATACTAGACACATCCTTTTTTGCCCATTATGAAATGAAGACAACTCCATTAGTGACTATTTCAGATTTCTTACCTCTGGGTTGCAGGTCGTTCTGGCGTAAATGCACTCTGTCTCGTTGAACACCTTGTAGACAGCTTCATTGGAGGTAGACAAGAAACTGGGAGCAGTCAAGGAGCTTTGCAGAATTTTACACCCCATTCTTGCTGGCTTGAAAGCAGACTTGGAACACCAGGCAGTTTCCTGGAATCCCTCCCACCCAACCATACTCCCTTAATCCATTCTCCCATGAGAGCAGGGGAGGCGGAGGGGAAACTGAGTAAGGATACACAGCTGTGCTGGCCCAATAAGCAATACAGAGACACACCAGGAAGAAAGTGCAGAGAGGGAACAGCAGGGATGTCATGATGTGACCAATCGCTCTGTCAGAGGGGACAGGAGAAAGAAAAGGTACACAAGTCAGTTTCGAGGCCCCAACTCTGTCTAGGCAGGGCAAGGACCCTCTGTCACATTTCCCTTTAGCTTCGCTGTGGACTGGCTTCCTGTCCCACCAAGAAGAGCTGCCAGATCCCACTCTAGGAGTGACGATTCACTGCAGCTACTCTCCTCTCACACTTCTACTAGAAACAATTATCCAACGATCCCCTGGGAGTGGCGGGTCAGACTGCGTCTGAGATGGATATTCTCACCAACTACCGTCGTACCTTGTAAGTCAAACAGAATCCGTTCCGAAAGTCCATTCGACTTCCAAAACGTCTGAAAACCAAATTGCGGCTCCTGAAGCCAATCAGAAGCCGCGGAAGCCCTGTCGGACATTTGGGTTCCAAAAGAACGTTCGCAAACCAGAACAATCACTTCTGGGTTTGCAGCGTTCAGGAGCCAAAACGGACGGGTTCCAGGGTGTTCAGGATCCAAGGTATAACTGTACAGTATTTCTAGCTAGAAGGTAGTTGCCCTGAACCCTGGAACTGTCTGTTTTTGCCTCTTTGATGTTGGCTAGTCCCGCTAGATTTCCCAGCAGCAGAATCAGACAGAACAGCAAACTGCTGTGGATATCTGCAAACACTAGGGATGGGGGGTGGGGTGGGGAGATAAAAGCACCCTTGCAAGGCGATCTATTGGGCACATGCCACATCAGGCTCACCTGCTGGCTTCCTTGATCAATGCAATGGCAATGAGAATCCTCTTGCGCAAGAAGATGAGCAGTAAAATGATGACAACCTCCACAATGCATAGGATGATCACTGGGCAAGGAAACAGAGAGAGGTGAAGTGGGAGAGAGAGAGACAAGAGAGAGGAACCTGAGCCCTCCTGTGGGTAAAAGCAGGGTAAAAACCAAACAAGTGACTTTGGATGGTTCTTGGAGCAAGTCACTTTTAGGGATCATCTGGCTCTTCTGATGTTGTTGGACTGCAACTTGCATCAGCCTCAACCAGCATGGCCAATAGTCAGGGATGATGCAAGATTGAGCTCAACAATTCCTCAAGGGCTACAGACTTCCCACTCCTGGGTCTGCACAGAGGCCTGAAGAAGACCTTCTCCTTCTCCTGGCCTTTCATCAACACATAGGAGGGCATGGCTAACAAAGAGACACACTCATTGCGAAGCGCTCAGCTGAGCAGTAGACTTACTGAAGGCCAGCCAGGTTTGCTTCAGATGGAGGTAGACACGGAGATCTGTCTGGAACCCAAGTTCTTTCAGGGAAACATCAGAACCAGCCTGTCCTTTCAGCTGGGCATATTCCATGTAGCAATGAAAGATTCCTGCAAGATGAAAGCAGCAGTGAACACGGTTGCCCACTGCCTTGGCTTAATACCGCCAACATACCAAATGGTTGAAAGCTGTCCCAGAGCGCAAAGCATACCAATGGGGAAGCAAGTTCAGAAGTGCCTATCATATCAAAGGTTTAGGGAAGGAGCAGTCCAGGCTTGTCTTCAAGGCTTTACCTGATTTCCTGCATTCAATTTTGTTGCAACAGTTCATGAGAATTATTCACAGTTTGAAAAGGATTTGGATCAGTTCAGTTCAAGGTGCCAGGTTGTGGGTAGAGGGGGAGTTGAATGAAAAGGTGGAAGGGGATCTTATTAATAATCATCATTTATGAACTGCTTAATGACATCCTGTCCACACACGTTCTGTGAAAACCAGATGCTACTTACATGCAGAGAGGGGCAATATGTCAACAGTCTGAATATAACGTAAAGAGCACGGTCTTCCGAAGTGATATTCTAACACAGAATTAGAAGGACCAATTAACTTGCAACAGGGACAGGTTCATCATCTATTCAGAAATTACAGACTCTGTTGCAATCTTTTACAACTACAACTAAGTTGTTCACCTGGGCAACTTTCCCTTCCGCTTCCTCAAGACGTGAGTTACTTCCAAGTGCAACATTAAAAAAAACCATTTAAGGGGGACAGGAAGGATAACTGAAGAGGCTACTGTAGAAGTGACTGGTGCTACATCAAACTTCCTAACTTCTACTTGATCCTCAGCTCACCTTCCCTGGATTCACAGAGGAAACAATTTTATAATTTGCACAGCAAGAGGTCATTCAGAGCATCCCCTAAACTGAGGCAAAGATCCAAAATAATGTCATTACCCCAGGCCCAGTTCTAGGACCAACGAGCAAAGTCACGAGTAAGGGGATTCCCAAAGTGAGGTCTAGCAAGGCTCACCTGAGTGACAGTAAGCAAGCTGTGCCACCTGCCACAAGTGGAAAGGGAGACATTTTACCACCAAGAGTGCGTGGAAGGAAGTATATGGTGCTGAGATAGACCATTAGTGAGAATGTATACCTGAAGGAGTGTCTCCACTCCCATCATTCAGCCCAGACACTGAGGTCCAGCTCTGAGGGTCTTGTGACAGTTCCTTCACTGTGAGAAGTGAAGTTACAGGGAACCTGGCAGAGGGCCTTCTCAGTAGTGGCACCCATCCTGTGGAATGCCTTCCCATCAGGTGTCAAGAAAATAAACAATTATATAAAGGCAATCCTATATAGAGAAGCTTTTTATGTTTGATGTTTTACAGTGTTTGATGTTTTAATTTCTTGGAAGCCACCCAGAATGGGCAACCCAGTCAGAGAAGTGAGGTATAAGTAATAAATCATTATTATTATTTATTCCAGTAGGCATCCAGCCTACCTGCCCAGATCCCTGGGCTTAACCAAACTCACCATATCCAAGCACCAGGATCACCAGCACAATCATCACCCAGACCATGATCCCTGCTAGGAACCGGAGCAGGACAATAAAGATGAGACTGACCACCATGGAAATCACCAGACCTCTGCAGATAGAAGACAACAAGGGATTTCTCAAGACGTTCTTGAACTACCTAGCAACCCGCAAGCTACTGGGTGAAGATGCTGCGTTGCACAAACATTTTAACTACTTGGGGTAAAGGAATCAGTAGCAGAAGGACGGTGAACAGTACAAATTATATCAAGGAAATTTAAGTTCATTATGGGTCATAAAAAGCTGACAAAAGGGGCTATGAACCATTAGTAAGAAGGTAGTTGACAGGCAAAGAACTGCAGAGACCAGGGAACCAAAGAGATAAGCATGGGCAAAAAAGGTAGGAATCGCAGAGAATGGTCTGAGGGCCTTTGATACGCCATATAAGCAGCTCTGAGACTGTTCCCCTTAATCCATTGGAACAGTGATGTGATATATTAAATAAATAAAGAGAGAGAGAGAGAGAGAGAGAGAGAGAGAGAGAAGGGTGTGGGGCTGAATCTGATACAGCGATTTGAACCTATCATGAAAAAACCCTCTGGTTGGAAGTCTCAGTTCAGTATATCAATCTTTAATAATAATAATAATAATAATGGAGAAAAGTGCCAAGTGGCCCATAAGGACTCTTGTGGTGTTCCTTTTCACTACTTTCAAGGGGGGAAATACAGAAGACACAAGTCTTCACAATGGTGAAATGCTCAGCTGGACATCCAGAACTTGAAAAACTCCTAAGATGGCCTGTAAGTCCGAAAGGTCCTTTGCCTTTGGAACAGAGCCAGAGCTTCCTTTTTGCTACTCCCATTAGACTTCTCATTCCACCCTTAGCTGGACTATTCCGTTCTCTGCTCACATTATTATCCAGTACCAGGAAACAGTGTAATCTTCAAAGATCTTCATAGCCACTTGTCTTGCCTCTAGAACCACATTTGCTTTTCTGGAATTCAAAGTAAGAAGAAGTGAGAAGCACAGGAAAGGTGAAGAACTGTACATCCAGGTTATTTTCCTTTAATTTTTTGGGGGGCCCCCAACAGAGTGTGGCCCTAAAAGCTATACAGTCATATTTCGGGTTGCAAACGTGATCCGTGCGGGAGGCACGTTCGCAACCCGCAGCGTTCGCAGCCTGAAGTGCCACGTCTGCATACACGCATGACGCGATTCGGCGCTTCTACACATAACATCATTTTGCACTTCTGCGTATGCGCGAATGCCGAAACCTGGAAGTCTGGTACTTCCGGGTTCAGTGCAGTCCGCAACCCGAAAAAGCGCAACCCACAGCGTTCGTAACCCAAGGTATGACGGTAGCTTGTTTAGCTTATACATAAAGCCGGCACTGGTGGAGACGCTCCTTCAGGTATACTGGGCCAAGGCCATTTAGGGCTTTAAAGTTCAGCACCAACACTTTGAATTGTATTCAGATACATACTGGGAGCTTTATTTGAGATAAGAAAGCTACAGAGTCTGGTGTTAGGTAGAGCACTAACTGCTCACTGACACTGCAGGAACTTCACTTCTGCTGGGTTAGGGCTACTGAGAGTCTGAACAATTGTGAGCACAGGATTTCCTTTTGCATGGGGAAAAAGATGGTTGACAAGCAGAGGGAAGTTCCATATATGCAGCACATTTAAGGTTCTATATCTCAAGGCCTGAGAAGCATTTTCATCATGCTGTCCAGAAGGACTTTGGCAGCATCCCAGAAAAGGAATTGGAAAATCCTTGTAGCTGCCAGAGAACACGGAATATAGCAAGTCTCCTGGAAGAAGTGGAACCTTTTTTTGGCCAGGGTAAGGTGGGACGTGGGTGGCGCTGTGGTCTAAACCACTGAGCCTCTTGGGCTTGCCAATCAGAAGGTCAGTGGTTCGAATCCCTGCGACGGGGTGAGCTCCCGTTGCTCGGTCCCAGCTCCTGCCAAGCTAGCAGTTCGAAAGCACGTCAAAGTGCAAGTAGATAAATAGGTACCACTCCGGCAGGACGGTAAATGGCGTTTCCGTTCATTGCTCTGGTTTCATCAGAAGCAGCTTAGCCATGCTGGCCACATGACCCAGAAAAACTGTCTGCGGACCAACGCCAGCTCCCTCGGCCTGTAAAGCGAGATGAGCGCCGCAACCCCAGAGTCGTCTGCGACAGGACTTAACTGTCAGGGGTCCTTTAAAAAGGTAAAGGTAAAGGGACCCCTGATCATTAGGTCCAGTCGTGACTGACTCTGGGGTTGCGACGCTCATCTCGCTTTATTGGCCAAGGGAGCTGGCATACAGCTTCCGGGTCATGTGGCCAGCATGACTAAGCCACTTCTGGCGAACCAGAGCAGTGCACAGAAACACCATTTACCTTCCCATCAGAGTGGTACCTATTGATCTACTTGCACTTTGACGTGCTTTCAAACTGCTAGGTTGGCAGGAGCAGAGACTGAGCAACAGGAGCTCACCCCGTCGTGGGGATTCGAACCACCAACCTTCTGATCGGCAAGTCCTAGGCTCTGTGGTTTAACCCACAGCGCCACCCGCATCCCTCAGGGGTCCTTTACCTTTACCATTTTAAGGTGGAAGATGGCATGTGATTTCCCTAATGGATTAGAAGAGATGGGGGTCTTCTCAGCACATACCCCACCTTTTCCTCTACAATCCCCCCCAGCCCCATCTGTTGTCTCAACACAACCCTTGTTTTTCTAATGTCCCAGTTTCTGCCACCTGTGATGAAAAGAACTAGAGCAAGAAAACTACAAATTACTGGGGACCAACTCCCCAGGCCGAAAAACTAGAATAACACAAGTAAATTAAGCAAAGTCGGCAAAAAGTATTCTTTGGCCAAATTTGGAATAACTAGGTCTACAAAGCCCCATTCTGCTCATCGCCACCCAACACACACACTTAAGACTCACTTGGCCCCTTCCAGAAGTTCCGTCACATTCCTCTCATGTCCTTTTCCGTCATTAAAGGTGGTCTTGTTCCCAACCATGATGACCCCTTTCTTCGAGCTGACTGCAGGTAGACATCTGCGAGCCACTGAGGATCACAACATGTAAGAGAGATCTAAGCAACAGGAAGACTAGTACGCACCCCCTCCCCTTGTTCTCTGCTTAAAAGACCCTCTATAATCAGCAGGCCGAGAAGAAAACTGCAACACACACCCACACCCCAAGCTGGTTTCAAGCAAGTAAGAGTGAGATTTGGCAACTGAAGAGGCAAGTGGGGGTTGCGAATGGGCTAAATCCTTATGCATACTTGGCAATTTCATCTGATGCTTGGAGTGACCTCCCGCAACCTACTACAGGAACCAGGGCTCCACTCAGTGTATACTGAATTGGTGTCAGGATACTTAGTGTAGAACAAGACCTCTTTATAGATTATTGCATCTCCATCCCTTGCCCCAACACCCAAGAGTTAACTGATAACTCACTGAGTAATCAGCACCCCAAGGCCTCTCCCATCCACATGTTTGTAATGAACGTGACTAGCCTGAAGACTTGTTTCAAACTTCGTTGTGATTTAATAGATGCTTTATTTGCCAAAGACATTCAAAATGAGTCAGAGGGACAGGTGTAATCAGATTACTTCCTTTTCTCCTTGTGCAGCTGTAGCTGTCCTTCATGTTCAAATCCTCTTGCCTGGCTCACAGCTCTCCCTCATCCCCACAAAGGGTGCAGCTCACAAGCAAAGTCAAGCCCTGGGGGTGGGGTGGAGGGAGCCAGCAAGGAGTTCCCGACCTAGTATTCCCAGACGTCACTGGGGGAAAAACATAACCTTTCTACCCAACCCAAATATCTATTTCTGCTTTCTTATGATCCTTCAGAATTAATTCGATTTTCTTAGAGAGGGGGTTGATATTCAAAATTCACACCAAGCCAGCCTGCTTGGGTGTGGGTTCAGGGATCACGTATGTTAGCCAACTTTTAATTTCAAAAATTCGGGTGGTAGGTCAGGAGGCGGGGCCACACAAGGAAATGGGCGCAAGTGCAATTCCCACAACTATGGGTGCCACATCGCCAGGTTGCTCTGCCTTTCCTCACCTTGGCTAAATAAAGCCTGATGGGGGAGGCAGCAGCAAAGGAACAACACACATGAACCCCACAGTCTTTCTTGCAGCCATGTCTGAAATGGTGTGCAAGGTCTGAAGTCAACTATCTTGTGCTCTAGTGCATATGTAGAGCGTACTAAAGGTGAAAATGATGGTTGCTTCCATTCAAATAGTTATAGAAACTGAATAGCTTTGTTAGAAAAAAGCTGACAGCCATCCCAAATTTTTGGCTTTGTATCCCAAAAAACCTCTGGCAACTGGCTCAGAGGTTAAAATGAAACTAAAAACAGCCAGGCCATTTCCCCCCCTGGGGAGTTAGCAAGGTCCATGAAGATTATGGCCTTCATGCCAACAATAGTGTTTGGATTTGATATCCTGCTTTATCACTACCCGAAGGAGTCTCAAAGCGGCTAACATTCTCCTTTGCCTTCCTCCCCCACAACTAACACTCTGTGAGGTGAGTGGGGCTGAGAGACTTCAAAGAAGTGTGACCAGCCCAAGGTCACCCAGCAGCCGCATGTGGAGGAGCGGGGAAGCGAACCCGGTTCACCAGATTACGAGTCCACCGCTCTTAACCACTACACCATGCTTGAGATAACAACTGTTTAGTGCATGAAGTGGAGGATAATATATGCTGGGTCTGAGGCTCTGCTCTAGCCCAGAACAAGTGGGCTGGTTCCTCAGAAGCTTCTTGTTTTCAAATTTCAGATTCCCATACTCCCAGATAAGAAGTCTCAACGGAGTCACCATTGTGGTAGTCTTTGTGTGGAAAGGCTAAGCTGAGGCTCTTTCTGACAATGGAAGTGGCTGGGAGTCACAGCCACTGAAAGCTTGAGCTGCATTAAGACTGTTCAAGAAACTATTAATAAAATCCCTAGGCTTTCCCCCACTGGTTTGCTCCCTCGGACAGACTTACAGGGTTTGCTTGGAGTGAGCATGGCTGGGCACAGATCATCTTTCAAAACTTCAGGTGCACTCAGGGCCTGAGAGAGGGGGGAAAGGAACAGGTTATTCCTGCCCAAAGGAGGAGAACCTCCTAGGAAAACAAAGGCAAAAGCAGAACGGAAGATCACCCTTAAGTCTGAACTAGTTCCCAGCCATTATGCATCCGTAATGCTCACTCACCTTCTTCCGGTTTTTAAATTCTGGGACACAAAACTGCTCATAGTATTTGAGTTCCTCGCTGGCTGCGCCGCCTGTGGAGGCCTGCAGGTAGGTGAGGTACCGATCTGGGCACTTTTCAACACAGATCTGAAAGAGTCACAAGAAGCACAGCAATTTAGTGTCACAATTCAGACACCATTTATCTAGCAGGGTTCCGATTCCCAGCAACAGTGACAAATCTCTACATTACAGTGGTACCTTGGTTCTCAAACTTAATCGTTTCCGGACGTCTGTTCCAAAACCAAAGCTTTCCAAAACCAAGGTGTGCTTTCCCATAGAAAGTAATGTAAAACGGGTGGTGCAGGGGCTCCTTTAAACTTCTCCCTTGAGGGGAGTGCAGCCGCGAACCCCTTAATGGAAAGTGTGATGGAGCCTGCACCTCCCCAGCTGAGCAGCCCCAATCCAGCTCCTGTTCCTGCGCAAGCAACAACGCTGCCTAGTGGAGCAGCCCAATCCCACTCCTACTTGCATGCAAGCAGGAGCAGGCAGCGAGGGGTGGCGGCGACATCCCTTGCCTGCTCGCTTGCCGCCCGGCCTGCCTTCCCTCACTCGGAAAACGGAAGTGTGGTTCTCAAAGTGGAAGTTATACTCAGAACAGAGCACGTTCAGCTTCCGAAAAAAGTTTGAAAACCAGAACACTCATTTCCGGGTTTGTTCAGGCTCCAAGTAGTTCGAGAACTAAGCTGTTCAAAAACCAAGGTACCACTGTATTTGGTGGATTTGTTCACATAGGGTTTTTCACCCATTATGAATAATGATATTAAATAATAGATGATGATGATGAATTTATTTATTTATACATACATACATACCCCACCCATCTGGCTGGGCTTCCCCAGCCACTCTGGGCAGCTTCCAACAAAATATTAAAATACAGTAATGCTTCCTAATGCTTTCATTTTGACTCCATCCCAATGTTACCTTTCCCCCATTTTCCTCTGTTTTGCCTCTAATGTGCAGTTGTCCTGGACCATCCCCACATTCCTTTGTTTTTCATTCATCTAGCATCATAACCTTGGCCCCGCTATTGGGGAAAATTATTCGTGTCTTCTCTTGAGAACCCTTATATGACAGATTTCTTAAGGGACAACTACAAACGATATAATTTATTCAAACCAGGACTGCAGTGCTAAATTAATGAATTGGTTAGATCAACTTTTAACTGACTGAAAAGGTATCTCAGCAGTTATAACTGGGGTGTGGGTTTTTTGATCTAGAATTGTATAATAAATTGTGTACCATACATAAAATAACAGAATCGTCAATAGTCCCAAGTCTGGGTGAAAGGCAGGATATAAATAATAATATAACATTGTATCAAGACTGTAAACATTTTACATTTTCTGAAAATGAGTACTGAACAAATGAATTCCAATTTAACACAAAACTTCTTAGGCAGCCAGCCTTTCTTGTTTCTTGAAATGAGCTGATGCAAGAGTTTTACCATATACAGTGGTACCTCGGGTTACACACGCTTCAGGTTACATACGCTTCAGGTTACAGACTCCGCTAACCCAGAAATAGTGCTTCAGGTTAAGAACTTTGCTTCAGGATAAGAACAGAAATCGTGCTCCGGCGGCGCAGCAGCAGGAGGCCCCATTAGCTAAAGTGGTGCTTCAGGTTAAGAACAGTTTCAGGTTAAGTACAAACCTCCGGAACGAATTAAGTACTTAACCCGAGGTACCACTGTATGTGCTGCAGATCTTATTCAACCAATCTTTCAATTGTGGACCTTTGTGGATCTATTCTGGCCATAATAGTTACGTTTGACACCAGTTCTTCTTTCCTTTTAGTTATCAAATGTTCAATGTAACCAAATGATAATATCCATGGTGTTAATTACTGCGTGAGTAATTAAACTGATAGTTTCAAACACCTCTTTCCAAATCATTGACGACTTCCAGATGTCTACCACAGGTAAAAGGCATTGGCTCCTAGTCTAATATATTTCCAGCAACAGAGAAGATTACTAACACATGCTAATGCAAACTTACAGTAGTGCTTGGCATCTGTAAATAAAGTTTCTCACTGCCTCCTCACTCATTATCCAGAAACTAACATCTAAATTATACACCAGGTGGTATTTACTGCCAACAAAGCTACATCACAAGTCCTCACCACACTCTAAACGTGTCAAGAAAACTGTGACAGAGTGAGGTCTTATTTCCATATGCCGATTTGCCGTAAAATATAAAGAATTACTGGGTACAAACATCAGCTCACATAAATAAAACTGCAGGATATGCTATCACTCCAGAACCCGTAACAGCATTGCTAAACCACCTCGGTAAAGACAACATTCCCCCCAGTATAAATAATTTTGATTATATTACCTATAACAGTTGCCACATTTTAAAATAGCCTTATACTGGAAAAAACAAAAACAACCTAAAAAAAATGAGAATCATTTCAGTGCGGTAGACCTGACTCAATTGAAAACCATGTCAAACCCTGAATATCCTGACCATTTCATAAATACTGTAAATGCCTCCCATTCCTAACAGGCATGCTGTCTTTTGAAGACTTTTTATAAACAGTGTCTTGAAACATAACGGCACACTTCTGTAACCATGATATTATTCACCAAACAAGCCTTCACTATCTCTCTTTTAATACAGGACTTTTAAAGCAGTTTTCCACATTCAAATTAAAGTCTGGAACACCTAGCCCAGGGTGTATCTGACTTGATAGTCTGATAGCAAGGGAAAACTGAAGAAGATTACGGCAATGGTAAAATCAAGCGAATAATAGATTACTGCAACACATACATGGGGCTGCCCCTGAAACTTCATCTGGTGCAGAATTCAGTGGCCAGGTAGCTCACTGGGGCAAGACAGTTCGAGCATATTAAACTGATCTTGGCCTGACTCCACTGGCTGCCAATCAGTTTCTGGGCCCAATTCAAAGTGCTGGTTTTGACCTATAAAGCCTTAAATGGCTCAAGGGCCTGCAATACCTAAAGGACTGCCTTTCTCCATATGAACCTACCTGGACCCTGAGATCATCTTCTAAGGCCCTTCTTCGCGTGCCTCCTCTGCAAAAGTCCAGGGGGCAGCAACATGAGAATGGGCCTTTTCTGCAGTGGCTCCGCACTTTTGGAACGCTCACCTCAGGAAGGCTCACCTAGCACCTTCATTACATATCTTTAGGCACAAGGCTAAAACATTTCTCTATAACCAGGCATTTAGCTAATGAACAATTCTGTGACCTTTTAAACGTGTTTGTGGGAGGCTGGGTCATTGGTTTGTTTCTGTTTTTGTCTTATTAGGTATTTTGCATTTTAATCTTGTGAACCACTCTGTGATCTTCAGATGAAGGGTGATATACAGATATTATTATTATTATTATTATTATTATTATTATTATTATTATCATTATTATCATTATCATTATTATCATTATTATTATTATTACAGTGGTACCTCGGGTTACGTGCTTAATTTGTTCCGGAGGTCCATACTTAACCCGAAACTGTTCTTAACCTGAAGCACCACTTTAGCTAATGGGGCCTCCTGCTGCCGCCACACCACCGGAGCACGATTTCTTTTCTCATCCTGAAGCAAAGTTTTTAACCTGAAGCACTATTTCTGGGTTAGTGGAGTCTGTAACCTGAAGCGTATGTAACCCGAGGTACCACTGTATTATTATTATTATTATTATTATTATTATTATTATTATTATTATTCTGACCTAGACACACACACACACACACACACACATCCCTGCATCACATTAAAGTGAGGCAGTTTCAACATGGAGAGCACAACCTCTGTGACAGGTCACAGATTTAAATCCTTTTAATTCTACTAATTCCATGTCCACTTATGGTAGGGTTCTAGTGAGAAGCTGAAGTCTCTCAGAGGCAGGCAGCAAACAGCTTCAGGGACTTCAAAGAAAAGGCAAACATCACCCATTCAACCAGGATAAAAAGGTAAAGGTAAAGGTACCCCTGCCCGTACGGGCCAGTCTTGCCAGACTCTAGGGTTGTGCACCCATCTCACTCTATAGGCCGGGGGCCAGCGCTGTCCGCAGACACTTCCGGGTCACGTGGCCAGCGTGACAAGCTGCATCTGGCGAGCCAGCGCAGCACACAGAACGCCGTTTACCTTCCCGCCAGCAAGCGGTCCCTATTTATATACTTGCACTTAGGGGTGATTTCGAACTGCTAGGTTGGCAGGTGCTGGGACCGAGCAATGGGAGCGCACCCCGCCGCGGGGATTCGAACCGCCGACCTTTCGATCAGCAAGCCCTAGGCGCTGAGGCTTTTACCCACAGCGCCACCCGCGTCAACCAGGATAGATTGTTCAAAACTGCTTTCTTTCTTTCTTTGGGCAGCTGCTCTTTGAAGTCCCTGCCCTCCCTTCCCATTTCCCCAATGTGACCAAGAGAGGATATAAGGAATCCTTGCTCTGACTCTCTTCCCATGCACTTTATTGGGCAACATTACACAACAGCGTGTCTATATCCAGGTATCATTGAGCAAAAGCAATCCACCTTCCTTTTTGTCCATGAAGTTTTGTCCTATACAGACGAGCGCAAAGCTCTTGCAATTCTGACCTCTCTGGGACAAAGGTATTGACAAGGAGAGAAACCTTACCTGTGTGGTGGGACACTGAAACTCCAACAGCACCAAAGGGCTGGCACATTTCACAATGTTGAAGTAGAACAAGAAAGGTTTATTCCTGGAAACAGAGAAAGGACCATAAGAACGTTCAAGCCAGCATATGTTTCTATCAGTTAGATAGGTCCCAAAAGTTCAGCAAGTCTTAAAGCGTTAAAATTGAGATGTGGAAAATATGGAAACAACAAGGAGAGGCAGGATTGAGATTTGGAGATATGCTTCAAGGTCCAGACTATGGGAAGCCCTGAAAAATTAATAATTATAATTTGGATGATAATTTGGTATTTTTTTATTTTAGTTTTTTTTTTATTTTAATTGGATTATGATTCGATATGTTAATTGGATTTTTTTTATTAAAAAACTAATAAAAATGATTTAACCAAAAGTTCAGCAAGTCTGACATACTGTGGAGATCTAGAAGATGAAGGAGATCGCTCATGCCAGCAGACTCTCCTGAACCACTTCTGAACAGGTTAGAATTCTCTACGCAGACCAGCCAGCACTGCTTGGGGATCACAGACAAAGCGATGTGCCAAGGGCGATGTGCCTTAGCCATCACCAGTTCTTAAAATGAAAGTTGCCACAGCTCAGGCCTATCTGGAAGTGACACCACCTAACCCATGCTGCCTGAAGACTCAATGTGGTTGCCTACCGGGAGGAGAATGCAGTCTGCAAATGCCAAAATACACCCTTGTCTTATGTAATTGCCCCTGAAATTTCATATGCAACTGGGGGGTAGGAACCACTTCTCCTTATTCTATCCTCTCACGCTGCTCTGGCTTCCTCTCCCTCACTGAATTCAATGCCACCTCATCGGAGAGGGTGACAAGGACAGTCAGAGGAAAGGCCCACCAGATTTCCTGTACAGCAGGGGTGAGGAACACCTCTGGACCAGAAGGCTGGAATCAAACATGGCCAATCCTCCATGGGTTACTATGATGGGCAAGTGGGGTTGTCCACCTGCTAATCACCTCAGGAGTGTTATATGACACCAGGTGTTTCAAGCCATGACTGCAAAGGAAGAATCAGGAGCTTGCTCTTGAAAGGGCCCATATCTGATGTCAGAGGTGGCTAACCCAAAACACTCTTGTGAACCAAAGCAAGAGAACGGTTGGGCCTAATTAGGCCCGTGGGTCAGAATGATCCCACCGCTGCTGTAGAGGCATAGATTTTTATTCCTGGTTTCACTTGGCCTAGAATACAGTGGTACCTCGGGTTAAGTACTTAATTCGTTCTGGAGCCCTGTTCTTAACCTAAAATTGTTCTTAACCTGAAGTACCACTTTAGCTAATGGGGCCTCCTGCTGTTGCCGTGCCGCCGCTACACAATTTCTGTTCTCATCCTGAAGCAAAGTTCTTAACCTGAGGTACTATTTCTGGGTTAGCGGAGTCTGTAACCTGAAGCGTATGTAACCTGAAGCCTATGTAACCCGAGGTACCACTGTACCACTATTTGGGGTTTCCTGACCTTCATCTGGCATGTGACACGATTGGCCCCAACTGACTGTGGCAACTCAGGAGGACATTCCAAGGGGGGCTTTAGATGCCTCAGAACATTCCAGAATTCCACATTAAGGGGGGAAACGAGTTGCCTCATGAGTAAGACAAGCAGGGCTAGGCCTTGCAAGAAATGAAGCTTTCCCTTTTCTACCCAGAAGAGATGACATGGAAAGGCAATCCAGAAAGGGACGATGCATGTGCAAAATTCTCTCTTAAAACGAAGTGCCTCATTGGCTATACTCATGCAGATAACAAAGGATTTTTCTAAGACACTTACTCGTTGGGGGTTCCGGCCTGGCCACAGAACTGCCCACGGCTATCTGTGGGGTAGATCACCTTCCGGGGGTCTCCTTGTGTCCATGCTGAAAAGACAGAAATCCAGAGCTTGACAATGTGCTCCCCTCCACATTGTGCAACATCACCCAGTTTCCCCAGCAACTGCTTTGGACTATGATTATATCGCTGTTATTCACATGTACATTTCATCCTTTAACTTATGAGCTAATGTTAACCTACAAAAGAAGGTATTTTGCTTGACTGTGCAGTGACTTGGTATTTGAATCCAAGTCCAAGTCTCCACCCACTGTGTTATACTGCCTCTCTGTCAAGAGTCTCCCAAATCTGCATGCAGCCACTCACAATATTAAACCCCTCCAAAAAGACAGAGGGAGGAGGCAATAAGATATTATCAGGGCAATTTCATGGCCTACCGTGAATTCAGTCCCACAGCTCATGTGGATTCCTAAGAACCATGGTTTACTGTTGTCATTTTCTTTGTTTAAAAAAAGAGAATGTTTCACCAATAGTTCAGTTGATAGAGCACAAGACTTTTAATCTCAGGGACGTGGGTTCAAGCCCCACACTGGGCAAAATATTCCTGCATTAAAGGAGGTTGGACTAGATCAGCGGTTCTCAACTTGTGGGTCCCCAGATGTTGTGGGACTACAACAACCATTATCCCTGAGCTCTGGCCTTGCTTGCTAGGGATGATGGTAGTTGTAGTCCAACAACATCTGGGGACCCACAGGTTGAGAACCGCTGGACTAGATGATCCTCATGTTCCCTCCAGCTCTACAATTCTATGATTCATGGCCATGAAGATGTGCATTCCACACACTTAAAAAAGAGTTTGCTTAACCCCCTTGTTTTCATAATGGTGCACCTTCTTGCCATATGTCCTCTTTTTCCAGAACGCTTTTACTTTTTCATGGGTATGTAAAATGAGAGTCATCATAGTAATCCATAGTTAAATGAAAAAGTTGGAAAACGTGTCCTCTTTTTTTGCTCTTCAAAATATGGCAACCCAACGTCTACAGTGGTACCTCGCAAGACGAATGCCTTGCAAGACAAAAAACTCGCAAGACGAAAGGGTTTTTTGTTTTTTGAGCTGCTTCGCAAGACGATTTTCCCTATGGGCTTGCTTCGCAAGACGGAAACGTCTTGCAAGTTTGTTTCCTTTTTCTTAACACCGTTAATACAGTTGCGACTTGACTTCGAGGAGCAACTCATAGAACGCGGTGTGGTAGCCTTTTTTGAGGTTTTTAAAGACTTTGGTGATTTTCGAAGCTTTTCCAAAACTTTCCCGACACCGTGCTTCGCAAGACGAAAAAAATCGCAAGACGACAAAACTCGCGGAACGAATTAATTTCGTCTTGCGAGGCACCACTGTACTTGCCCAGTCACCAGCAACACTCAGCTGTTGCCTAGAGCCAGAGAAAGGGAGATGGAGAGTTCTACAACACATACCCACGACTCCCACAGCGATGTAGCCCACAATGGCAACCAGAAGCAAGATGCAGCAGATGATATCGGTGCAGCCCCTGAAGGAGAAAGCAAAAGGATTGAGAGGAATACAACCGTCATGCTCTGCGTCTGTTCTGTACCCCACAGTCTGGTGGCTTTGATGCCTTGATCCCCTCTCCCCACAGCAGATTTGCAACTTCGGTATTTTATTTCTATTTTTATAAGCCCTGAATCGAACCAATCTCACCAATAGAGGCAAAGGCGGTTAAGAGAAAAAATACTCAGGGACTCTGGCCAACGTATAAAGTACTCCTAAAGGAGGATAATAACCAACTGAAATTAAAAAGCTTCGGGGAAATAAGAGAGTGTATTGTTGATTGGTTTCAATATCACCAATTATTTGAGACATTCAAAATTGGTAAACAAAAGGGTTTTTCCACTGAGATTTCCAGATTTGAATCGGATTTGGTGAATTCCAGAATTAAAATGCTTTCTAAAGTATACCGACTCCTCCTTGACTGGGAAGTCAAGGAGGAGGAGGTTACAGCGGCTATAATTAAGTGGTCACAAGATTTTGGGTACTCAATAACAATGAAGCAGTGGGAAAACCTGTGGAAAATAAATTGGAATTTTACGGCCTGTTACTCTCAGAGAGAATTTTCTTAAAATGCAGCATTGGTGGTACTTAACCCCCTGGAAATTGTACAAGAAGTTAAAAAATGTCCCTAATAATTGCTGGAGGTGTAAAGAAAAGCCAGGTACTTTATTCCATATATGGTGGCAGTGTGAAGAAATCAAGGTGTTTTGGGAGGATATCCACCTAGAATTGGAAAAAATATTTAAAATATATTTTAATAGGAAACTGGAAGCTTTCCTTTCGGGAATCACAGACTAGGATATTCCTAAAAAGGCTAGAGAGATCTTCTTATATGCTACGGTCGCAGCAAGAGTTCTCATTGCGGCAAACTGGAAAAGCGATAAAGTCCCATCAAGATTAGAATGGATTCAAAAATTGGCTGAATATGCGGAATTAGATATCATGTCAGAAAAGATAAAAAATAAACCAAAACAGTTATTTATCTCAAAATGGGAAGTTTTTAAAATATATTTGAAAAATAATAGTAGTAGTTTAAGGTCATACTTAAACATACAGTTTAAGGTTCAAATAATTTCAGTAGCAGTGTTAAAAATGTGGAAAAAACAATGAATGGATCAAGGGATATTGAAATTGAACAAAACTCGTTATGCAGCGGCAGTGAACGACTAATACAGAATCTGTAATAAGGAATAGACGGGAAGTCTGGTAGGTAGAAAAAGACCACTTTTATTTTGTTTTGAAGGTTACTAGTTGATGTAGTCATTCTCTTTTTTTCTTTGGTGGCGATGGAAATTTATTCTCTTTTTCTCTATGGTGTGTTAATGTGAATGGTAGCAATAAAATTTAATAAAAAGATAGAGCACGAGACTCTTAATCTCAGGGACGTGGGTTCGAGCTCCACACTTCAGTATTTTGCAACTTCAGTATTTTATTTCTATTTTTATAAGCCCTGAATCGAACCAAACAAAAGCACAGTATAAACCAGAACTGGCTCCAGGTTTTGGAGGCCTCTCAGACAATATGGGCCCTTCCCTACATGAATGGGGCCCATCGTCTCCTTGCCCCTGTCCCTGCTGCCCATTCACTTGCCCTCTTCCTCTGGGCCCAACCACTGCAAACAAGTCACCAAGAAGGAAAATGTAAGGCAATAAAAGGAGGAGGCTTCCTGTCATCAACTCTGGTCCTTCTTTGCAAGTCTGGAGACTGGGGGAAGTGAAAAAAGTATTTACCATATTTTTCACTCTATAAGACGCACCAGACCACAAGACACACCTAGTTTTTGGAGGAGGAAAACAAGAAAAAAAAAATTCTGAATCTCAGAAGCCAGAACAGCAAGAGGGATCGCTGCGCAGCGAAAGCAGCAATCCCTCTTGCTGTTCTGGCTTCTGGGATAGCTGCGCAGCCTGCATTTGCTCCATAAGACGCACACACATTTCCCCTTACTTTTTAGGAGGGAAAAAGTGATCTTATAGAGCAAAAAATACGGTATTTATTATAAGATTTGGGGCATGAGCAAGTACCCAGCGATACTGACCTTCAACGCTAGCCCTGGTATATACTTTCAAATCGTAAAAAGACACAAGCAGCATTTGAATAGTTTTAGAAAGCACACCTGAAGCATGGGGGATGGGCAAAATGAAGAAACTCCATATCTGAAGTGGAAACAAGTAGTGCCTTTCAACTGCACTACAAAGGCAGGAAGACAAGCTCACCTTGTGGGGGAGAGAAAGGTGCATGCTCCTGTTTTTAGCGATATCTGTATACGCTTTTTGCTGCTACTTTCTGCTACGGGTTCTTAAAACAAGATGTGTGTGTGTGTGCGCGTGTGTAAAAACTCAGTCCTCCTAGTCCTTTAAGTCAAAAGAAACCAACACAGAAAAAGCAAACAAAGTAAATCTAGATAGGAGAACAAACAGCTTCACTGGGTTTAAGTCAGAGTCTATTTTTGAAGGATATCTTGCAATCCCTTAGTTTCCATCAGGGCAGTTCTGCCACAAGAGAGAAGGGCTACTATATTATGACAGAAAGCTGTGTTTCCATTCCACCACTTGGGCATTTCTTTGCCTCTGGATGAAAATGTGTGTTTGAAGCCTTTGCTCAAGTCACCTGTGACTCTCTCCTGGCAAGGCTGCTGGGGCCTGGATTGTGCTTGTGGGGCTTGATCTGAGGGAGGAGGTTGGAGGGCAGGTGGTCCTGCCTCTTGGGCAAAGGGACTGGACCTCTTGACCTTTGATCATTCTCGCACTTCGATTCCATAACTGATGAAAGGCTCCTCCATCATATTCCCAGGCAGAACAGAAATCTCTCATTTTTAAAACAACAACCACCATCATCATGAGGCAATAAAGCTGAATAGTGAGTGTAAGCTGAGCAACTTAAGGGGCGTATCACATGTAAGTCCATGAAAGTAAAGTTAAAAGGGAAATATTTGTTTAATTTATAAATACCATTTGACATTTTGGCAAAACATTAACTCAAGATAGACCTATTGAAATTAATGGTCCTAACTTAGTCACTTTCCTTAATTTCAGTGGATCTACTCTGAGTAAAACTTAGTTCAATACTACCCCAAAATGTTTGAATCTCTTACAGTATGTGCCATGTGGCAGCCTATGTCAACACGGCAATTATATATGCTATAAATATTGTATTTTAGATCAGACAATAAAAAAGAAAAAAAATATCTGTGCAACAATGTAAAGGTAAAGGGACCCCTGACCATTAGGTCCAGTCGTGGCTGACTCTGGGGTTGTGGCACTCATCTCGCTTTATTGGCCGAGGGAGCCAGGTCATGTGGCCAGCATGACTAAGCCGCTTCTGGCGAACCAGAGCAGTGCACGGAAACACCGTTTACCTTCCCACCAGAGTGGTACCTATTTATCTACTTGCACTTTGAAGTGCTTTCGAACTGCTAGGTTGGCAGGAGCAGGGACCGAACAACGGGAGCTCACCCCGTCGCGGGGATTTGAACCGCCGACCTTCTGATCGGCAAGTCCTAGGCTCTGTGGTTTAACCCACAGTGCCATCCGCGTCCCCTGTGCAACAATGAAGAGGTAATAAATAAGCTTTGACAGAAGGCAGAGGAGCGTAGAGAAGAAGAGTCCCAGCTTAGAGACTTCATGGAAGCTGAGTGGTCCAGGCAAGAAAACAACCCAGTCCCATTGCGAACATCCTGACTTCCATGAAGCAAAGTCCAAGAAAGTACACAGGTAGAATGGCCTTCCTTTGCCACCTCCACACACCAAGACACAAAAGCTTGCCAGATCCCATGCAGCAGCTATGCACAGAATCATTTCATTTTGGTATTTTGAGTCTTAGGGTTGCAGGAATTGCATATACAGCAGCATGCCCCTCTTACTTTCCAAAATGCGGGTGGGGGTGACGGGAATTCAGAACAAGAGACAGCATCCCCTGGCAGTGTTCCCTTCTGCACACACTTTGCAAAACACCATCACACACCTTCACCAACAGGTTGCTCTTACCTGTCATATATGGGGCCTTTGAAAGTTGGGTCATATTTTTGGGGTGTCCCTAGGAGGGGAAAAAGAGAAAGAAAATATGTACTAAGTTAAGCAGTTACAGAAGGCAGGAACAGGATAATTGGGAAATATATTGATTTTAAGTACATCCATCTTTTGGGACATTCTCAGGTAGAAGCCCCACTAAAATGAACAGGACCCTGCCTTCTAAGCAGTGTGTGAGAGGGAGAGGGGTATTACATAATTTCCACAGAATCACTGATGGGCTAAACTTCTCCCATCTGCTGTCCCTTGCCTCCAGGAGCAACTTAGCCCCAGTCTCTCATCTGCAAAGTTTGCTCATCCACCACCTTCAGAGCTTACACTTTGTCCAAAAACACTGTTGTATATTTCTCCCCTTGATTTCATTGTTTTATCTTTTTGTAAACCGCTTTGAGGTTTTTCACAATCAGGTGGCGCAATGCATTTTATGAAATAAATCAATAATAAACAAATAAGAGCCTTTCCATACAAACCCCAGCCCTTGCCCATGCAATTAGATTTGTCAGTCTAAGCCATAGGTAGGCAAACTAAGGCCCGGGGGCCTTCTAAATCCGGCCCGCAGATGGTCCGGGAATCAGCATGTTTTTACATTAGTAGAATGTGTCCTTATATTTGAAATGCATCTCTGGGTTATTTGTGGGGCATAGGAATTTGTTCATTTCCCCCCCCCAAAAAAATATATATAGTCCACCCCCCCCACAAGATCTGAGGGAGAGTGGACTGACAAAGTTTGCTGACCCCTGGTCTAAGCTCTCTCATTTCTCTCCCCTCCGTTGCCTCGGGACCCTCAGCAGTTGTTATAGTCCAGTCCCAAGCAGCCTGAAAGTCTAAGGCATACACCCTGCACCCTGTGCCTAGCTAGTCTATTGCATTGAGTCACCCTATAAGCTCCTCTCCCTCCCTCTTGGTTAACCGACAGGGAGGGTAAAAAGAGGGAGAGGAATCATCCCACCCAAAAGCAAAGCAGTAGCTATGGGGATGCCCTGTCACTGCACACAAGAAGCAGGAAGGGAAATGGAGGAACCTCCTTCTACACAGAAGGAGCAAAATTCTTTGCAAATTTGAATGGCGAGGAGTAAGCCACTCAGGATATGCTCCTACACGGATAGACAAAGGAGTAGGTGAAGCAGGGAGTCTGTGTTTCTAACCTAAGCAAGTGAATAATCCCAGGAATAGCTGCAGAACAGGTTCTCTGCTGGTGGTTCCAGGCTGTTACTGGAAATTTTCAGAGAGAAACACACACAAATATCTCTCAACGAGGGATTCTCATCAGAACTACACTGTGTTTACCCAGGAATTGGTCTTCAATTGCTATCCCCCAGAACACATTTTTATTCATTTATTTAAATGTATAATCTGCCCTATCGTATGGGTTTGGGGGCAAGTGATAAATGAAGTAATGGTAAGGAAGAGAAGGCCTCTCCTCATCCGCAGAGTTCCTCTTCCACACTGGAAAGCCAAAACCACAAGCCTTCACACATCATGGGTTAATGGCAAGCCCATCTTCTAGGCATGCCTTCTGGTGCAGACTGGAGAACCTCTCAATTTAGAAACTGGAGTGATCCCCACCTCCTTCACCCCAACTGAACTTTCCCAGCCCAGCAAACAGTCACTCCTTTCATCCGCAGGCTGCAATGCCTTTCATTCACCAAATAAGATTTCTCTGGTTAGACACCAGCCAATGAAGCAAAATACTTTTCTCTATACCAGCATAGACTCTCCGGCAGAAAAGCCCTGGAATCGTTGCAAAACTCAGATATTATTATCTGCTATAAAGTGCATCTGCACGACAGCCCTGAGGTTCCAGGGGAAACAGACAGGCTGGTGGTAAAAGCAACATCTTTTTTTACTTTGCCCCACCTCCCAGTTGCACTTTCAATAGGTACAGGCCTTCTCTGTCATCACTACTACTGCCTCCCCTTTGCAAAGGCCCTGCAAATAGAGATGGGAGTCTTGCCAGCCTAATTTTACACCCTCTAAAATGGCATCATGTCCCCCATCCACCCTGACTCAAAAGGGGGAAATTCTGAGTAAGCTGAAGTTCATTGTTCAAGACTCTTAAATCAGGTATTACTTTAGAATGCAAATAAAATGCAGTGTGGTTTTTCACAACACACATCCTTATGATTCTTTTCAAGTGTGTGGGTTGTTTTTTTATATATATTCCTCAGATTTCAATTAAAAGCAACCCCTATAGACAACTGATATCATTTCCTGAAGCAGCCTTAACTCACCACTTTAGCTGGGCAACTGTGAACGCTGCCCTTTGCTTAGAATGGGTTCCTTATATGTAATATTGGGCAAAATACAATACAGTGGTACCTCGGGTTAAGTACTTAATTCGTTCCGGAGATCCGTACTTAACCTGAAACTGTTCTTAACCTGAAGCACCGCTTTAGCTAACGGGGCCTCCTGCTGCTGCCGCGCCGCCGGAGCAAGATTTCTGTTCTCATCCTGAAGCAAAGTTCTTAACCTGAAGCACTATTTCTGGGTTAGCGGAGTCTGTAACCTGAAGCGTATGTAACCCGAGGTACCACTGTACTAGCACCCCAGGAAAATGACTGGGGACTCCAGGGCTAGAGGTAAGGTCAGATATTCAACTGTTCTATTGATTTCTTTCAACAACTTTCTTGTTTCACTCTGCCAGAGTATTCACTGTCAATGCAGTTCCAGCAAATGCGTCCTCTCCATGCTGGAGGAAATTCTTGGTTCGGTTCCCATTATATGTGGCTTTGCATATACACCTCCTCCTGTCCTGGGTGGAAAACTCCATTTCCACAGGTCTCCAAGAAAACACAGGTTTCAGGGAGAGGCAGAAAGGGACACACAGTTTTCCACTTCAGCTTTGCATTCCAAAACGGCCATTCTATTTCAGGGGAGTTTTGGGGACTTTGCAGAAAGGAAGTTGGGCACATCCCTGAGAACTACAGCCACTAGTCATTCCTTCCACCCCCATTAAAGGTTTCGTACAGAATACAAGTATGGCACAAAATTAGCCTGTGGCTGATCTTAGCATGAGCCACAAAGAAATTATGGACTGGCAGCACTCTCAGCCAGTGAAGGGAAGACTGGAAGATATCCAATTCTCCCTGTTAGGAAAGGCGGGTTGGAGACTGATGAGCGATCCACTCATTTAACTTCTGGTGGGATAATTGCCAAGGGTAATCAAATAGACTTGAGTTCCGAAGTATGTCCAGAAGAAAAAGCCACTTCCACTTCAGCATCTTTGCCCCCACATAGTAGCCATAATGTGGTAAAAGAAGTCCTGGAAGACTTGCTTGAAGTCTCCCCAGGTAGACAATATTTATTTTTATTTTATTTTATTTTTAAAAATTATCTACCGCCTACTCACAAGCAGAAAAACGGTTGACAAAAATTAAGGCAAAGTTAAAAATGGTTTAAAAAAAAGAAAGAAAGAAATTAAAATCAACAGCTAAAATGAATTATATTCACTTGCAACAATGTAATCTGGATGAGCAAATGAATTGTGTCAATTCAGCACAAGGGCTAGTATGGAAGTAATCCCGCGGAAAATAACTTTATACAGTACTAAGGTCGTAAGATAAGGCTAAGATAAAGCACAACATCCTCATCTATGTTGTGGAGAAGAGAGTCCAAAATATTATATTAGACATTTGGGCTGGACAGGAGGTGATTCTGATGGACATCTAACACCATCAGCCAGGTTTAAAGACTGTGCTTTATCCTGGGGGACAAATGCTCAAGAAAATGGTTCAGTGTTGGGGAAGAAACGCCCTTCAATATTTCTGAAGCAGAACTTTGTTTTCAGATGAGGCATGCATTTGCCACAGAGGTATCAGAAGAGGGATTTCTCCTGTGTGTGAGAAAAGGCAGAATCTGCCTCTTTCAAGATACGCATAAGTCACCTGCCAATTTTATAAGCATAGACATATATTTAAACCTGCTGCTCAGTTCATCTGGGGCACTTTTTAAAGTTGCTTTAAATGTTCAAATTAATTAATCCGGCCAATGAATTGATTGCTGTAGTCCCAATTACCTCCTTGGGAGAAAAGGTGTAATATATAAAAGTAAACAACAAACAAACAAAAAAAAATGACAGCACCACTGTCACCATTTCTCCAAGTTTCTCCATGGGCAATTCCCAGAGAACAAGTGAAGGGGGAGACTTTATTGCAACTATCAGGATACTTTGTTCCAGGGGCCTATCGGGAAAATGGTTGCCATTTAAGTGCTGAATTCCCTCCCCACTCCAGTATTATTATTACAGTATTATTATTAGCCAGGAGTACACCAGTCACAGCCAGAGGAGGGAGTTGGGATAAGCAAAGGGGCCTGGTGACTGTGTGTGTTTGTGTATATATAAAATAAAAAAAAATCCTTCCAGTAGCACCTTAGAGACCAACTAAGTTTGTTATTGGTATGAGCTTTCGTGTGCATGCACACTTCTTAAGATACGAAAGCTCATACCAGTAACAAACTTAGTTGGTCTCTAAGATGCTACTGGAAGGAATTTTTTTAATTTTGTTTCGACTAAGGCAGACCAACACGGCTACCTACCTGTGTGTATATATATATATATATATATACATACATATGAATACATACAGTACATAGCCTACAGTTTGTAGTTCCTTAGCCTTGCAGGGACATCCCGGTTCCCTTCCCCATAGCTAACCTCTGGCTGCCCCCTACACATCCCTTCTGCTGGGGGTGCGCGCAGAGAGAGCACAGCGGCGCGTAGTTTTGGAAACATTCTTTCCGGAACTCGCAAGTTTCTCTGCTTAGACCGGGCGCGCGTTTTGGGCAAGGGAGGCGGCGGCTCGCCGACATTCCTCCCCGGCTACTCCGCTCCCCGAGACTCCCAGAAGGCGCCTGCGTTCCAGAGCAGCTCCGCAGCTCTGCTGGGGATAGCAATCCGGTTTAAGGTTACGCGGAGCAGAGCGCCCGGTGGTGCGTCCCGATGTAAGAGGCGCGCACCAACGCCCGGGAGGACCCGGGCGTGCGGGAGTAGTATTTTTAGTAAGCCCG